CAAAACCGTTTGTTGTATGGGAGCCACTCTTAAATGTTTATTATATTCTGTTTATAGTATCTGTTGTTTTTTGTTCAATTGTCTAGCTATCACTGTTCATAAGATACAACCTGGTGACAGACAGGCGGACAGAATCTTAGTAATAGGATTCTGTTTTTACCCTTTGGGAACACCAAAAAAACCAGAAATCTAAAATTGAAATCCACAATGATTGTTTTAATGACAGCACAAGTTAGCAGTTGGGTTAATTCCGTTCTCCCTGCCCAATATTGTAAACTTTCACGCAATTAATTTAACTGCTCAGCTGCCTGTAAGCCCAGCTCTTAGCCCAGGCGTGGGCACCTGTCCCACTGGCCCTCGCAATTTACAACTGTCACTTGGGACAGCGTCTCTAATTCATGTCTTGCCCCTAATTCGACGCACCCAACGTCCGCAATCGTGATTAAATTCAATTAGAATTAACTACGGGAGAAGTGTTAATGGCAGTTGGGTTGGGTAGGGTTACAAAAAAATTTTGGTCCAATACATGAAATATTTCATTTTTAAAATAAACAATGAAATACAATATTTCGTAGAAAAGTCTTTGAAAAATATTTTAAACCTAGAATGCAATATTATTTCAAAAACAGCTTAAAAAACAACCAAATGTAAGTCGAACGACATAGATAAAGGGTTCTTTGCATTGTATATATGGATTTACATGACACGAGCAAACAAAACAAAGAACGAAACGGCTACTTTTTATTTAATTTTTATCATTTGACGTTACATTCTGTTACAAATTTCATCTATCAAGCAAGTATTCACAAGATGATATGATATAAATTGACTTGATTAATTTTTAAAATGGATTGATTTTGTTTAAATTTGTTTGGACCTGATTTGATTTAATATGAACAACAATTAAATGAAATTAATGTATTTAATGTTAAGCTCAAGTTTGTTGCAACACCCCAATGTATGTATGTACCCCATGTACCACTCACTATTAAGTATGTAAGACCTTATAATAAATAATGTACATGAGCAATGTTATATAAATAAATAAATAGATATATAACTCCAGATTTTCTGTTGCCACTGTCAGATGGACAGGCATTTACCCATTCGATAATGAACCCTATCATACCCCACAAGCTTAAGGTCACTTTTATTGCGACGTTTTCATCACAATTCTGATGCGTTTCACTATTCAGATTTCATTAGAGGTTCGTCATGGAAGCCTTCTTCAGAACATACGTTACATTTTGTTAATATTATTTAGAAATTGTTTTCCCATTCACACGAACAGCAATACGATTATACGATAGCAGTGTTCAAGCAAGCATCGTTTCGCTGTGTCAGATCGCCTCCGATGTCAATAAAATCTAAATGGCAGTCATTTAATAAAGCCTAATGTGTTCCAATTAGACTGGATCGCTGTTGGATTTTTTTCTACGCCACTTGTATTCGTTTCATCGCATTCTGAAACGTTCTTATTTTACCAATTAAAATTTCACTTTTCAATGTGATGATTAAAATGTAGGGATAGAATATAAACAAGCGAATGCAGATCAAAGTAGAAATTTGATTAAATAAAAAAAAATGTTAATCTTTTACACAAGAATTCCATAAATTGTTTTAAAATATGTAAAATTAGGAACTTCGAGTAGTTAAGTACATTGGCATAGAAACTCTGTGAACAATTTGAAGCGTTACTTACCTTACTACTTATTTAAGTGAGAACTAAGTATAAATGTAGATATAAAGAAGTAGATTGCTATATCGATGCTGCATCAACCCCTTAGGGGTTGATCGCTTCAGATGCAGCTTGTAAGGCCCTTTCGACTATAAGCATGTGTTTGAGTCAGTAGGAGTCTGACATAGTCTTGCAGCCGGCTGTGGGGTGACCATGAGGATTTCACGCCCGCTCCCTCGCTTGTAAGGAATAAAAAAAATATCGATGTTTTAAATGTATTTCGAGATAACGATGGTTTCATTGCCGTCGAGTAATTAAATCTTAACAAAAAAAGCTTTTAAAAGCGAAAGAAAATGTCCTAACTGTCCTTGTCTCAATTAAACGCGACTCCGGCCGGTCGCCGCGGGTCATATCATAAGCAAGATGAGTCATCCTTGACGTCATCAGACATTATGACATAGTTATTACATTACGCCGACCGCATACTAAGAACGTTATAGCTGTGTCAATGTTTCGACCGAGATTATAGGTTTATTAATTGAGAATTTATCGTTGGATCGAGTCTTATCAATCAAAACATACAAAATAACACTTGTACTAATAAATATCTATAATAAAAAGGTACATGATTCATATCTGATTCTTAAAAATGTACGAATTCATCAGAATTTGTAGGCTTATAAAATTATAGGGGGCGCCCGTCACTTTGTCCGTATTCACTTTAGTTTTTTGAGAAACCCTCAGGAACCTTAAACCTCTCTGGGATGAAAAGTATCCTGTGTTTCTTTCCGGGTTATAAGCTGTCTGTGTGTAAAATTTGATCCAAATGCAGCTGTTTTTAAGTGATTGAGTAACAAACATAAAAACTTTCACATTTATAATATTAGTAGAAGAAGGCTAGTAGGAGTAGGATTTCGTTTTTAAATAACGTCACGCCTCTTGATTATATGTCTAACGAGGTAGGTACGGCATTGCGCATTTTTTAACTCATATTAGCGAACAATTCTAAGGATAAAGCACCCAGTAAGGGACGTGGTGTCTGTCCTGGGAAAAATATCTTTGTCAGATTTCTATGTCCACAACATCAGTTCAAAGATCTTTGATGAGAGCTCATGCTACCCGTGCTAGACCTTTGTCCAACATATCTTTACCGTCTAAGAAAATTGAAGAATTTTGAGCTTTTTTATGTACCTAAAGCTATCATCATTTAATAAAAAAATAAACATTATGTAATGTTTATAACACCTTTCAGTTCTTATCTAAGAAAGAATCTAGAAAATTACTAGCTATGGACTTAAGATCTCACGAAATTGCATGTGAGAATCGGTTTAAAAAAACAGCGTAGCGTAATTCGTATGAAATGAACTTTCAGCTTTTTATAAGGCTTAAAACACGAACGTAAGAATACAAGGGGCACTTTTACAGTGCTTCAGGGCGAATGCTAAAACGAGGACTGTAATTTTATGCAAATGCGTCAGAAATATGAATATTTAAACGGTTATCCTAGCCGAGGCAAATACCATACACGCTAAAGCCCATAGTTATTCTTTAGTACCGTACCAAGCTTCGTCACAACTGTTTATATAAACATTGAACCTTGTTAGACATTCTTTTTATCAACTATGTTCCACTTGTAATTCAAAATGTTTACTTAAATGAAGTATTCAGTTGAATACATTCATACGGGTAAAAATTGGATATACCTCTAAATACAAGGACAACTGAAAGCCAACTTCCTCTACTAAACGTAGCATTAAAGTGTTGCTAAGGGATTGTAGGACAAATGGATTGAAATTTAAACTGATATTCTGTATATGCTCGTCGTAATTTGTTTAGGTTCGTCGTGGAGTAGGTCCTTTCGTCTGTTCTTTTCAATCTTCGCTTCATCAAGTTCAATTACTTTCTCATAAAAATCATTCATTTCTAGAATAGTCTACTTACATCTCCCTTTATCTTGGACTCCATACTATTTAATCTTAACATTCAAATTCATGTCCCTCCTAGCAATATACGTTTCATTCCATCTTATAATGTTGAATTTTTAACGGATAACACAAAGTACCTACATACTTACTTAATTTATTCTTATAACTTTGCTGCTCTTCTATCTCTTAACATCGTAATCCCTTATTTAATTCCCATGAAGTCAAAGATACTAAAATATTATTTATTTATTTTATTTTGCTTTTATCAAAGGTTTTGCAAAAATTGTATTCAAAAAATTATTATTTTTATAATTTTTATTATTTTTTAAAGCATGTAACTGCTTGTAATTATTATTTTTCTAAAAGGGATATTAATAATTATTATTCTCTTTTAGATAAATAATTATTAATTAATACCAGTTTTGAACTTGAGTATGCCAAATGCTAGCATTGACAAAACAAAAGCAAAGGATAAATTCTACAAAACCGTTGCAAACTGAAATGTCTCCCGAAAAGCGAATTCTTTGAACCCTTGAAACGAGGTTCAAAGAATCGTCTATTACTAAAATATTTCTTCGCTGCTACGCTAATAAATGCTTCGCCTCACCAAGAAACTAATTTCTGTATAACGATCCAAAAGTATGAAGCAAAATTGTGAGAAATTCTTATATTCTAACCGGCTGGGAAATTTCGTCTATAAAATTAGTTTGGGCAGCTAATTCGCATAGTAAAGGTGCAAAAAGTCGTTTTTTTTTTGTTGATGTTCATCGTTTTTTACATGAACTTTCTGAGCGGTAACCCCAAGCATGTCTTATTCTACTAAATAATGAAACGCCCTTAAATTAACATCAAACATTAATGAGGAAAATCTAATAACGTCGTCTATCGCCGACGGAGAATCTAATTTAATAATATATTAATTTGGAACCCGCACAAGGCAACAGGCTCGAGTTTACTAACTTTTGCTTGTTACAGATAGTTTAAATAAAGTTAGGCATACAAAGCTTTATAATTGAGATCTCTTCATCGCGTAAAGAGAATAACAATTAGTAGATTTTAAACAAATTCATGAAATTATGGTGACTGAATGGTACTTAGTTACAATAAATCTAACGATTGCCGCTTGTGAGGAATGGTTGGTGTAAATGTAACTTATAATGGAAAAAATATTTTTAAATGTTAACTGTTGAACGTAATCTCACTTTAAGTGAATATTTAAATGAATAATTTTAACTAATCGCATACTGCTCGGGAAGCATTTTTTCAGTTTCTTTGCGAGTACTTTTATGGCTAGATTGGAAGTTGAAAAAATAATAACGGTAAAACTACAATCTAATTATTTGTAAATTTTCGTAGTAAGTCTAATAAGAATTGTGTGTATCTGGCTACGCAGATAGTTGTTATTAAATTTCATTACATCAATGTTTTCATACGAAATATTCTATCAAAAAGTTCTCCACAAAAAATTGGTGGGCATTATTAAGTGCACCCTTTATCTTATCTGATAACAGTCCAATATGATCGGCATTCTGCCACCTACACAGGTGCACGATATTTTATCCACTGCCATGTGAAGGCTAGCCAGAGGCACCCACCGATTCAGTTAATTGTCTAATTGTGCCTCACTCACTCACTACAAAGTAATGGAGGCAGGCGGATAAACAGATCGTGCGGTATTCGTGCGTATAACATTAAAGTACACGCCTCAGATTAGATGGTCAAGGTTAAGCACTGACGTAGGCTCAGACGGCGCGTTATCGCCTCGGCGAAAGCCTCAATAACGCGGCCAATATATTTTTGGCAGCGGTATTGCAGTATCGCGCGGTGGGGATTGTTTTGGTGCGTGGTGCCGACGCTGCGGAGCGTACACACGCGGCCAGCCGCCGCTTTATAAATACGGCATTCCAGTCGAGCGTAGCGGGCCGCGCTCGCTCCCCTCTCGGCACCATTATCTGCGGAGCGCGAGGCCTCGCCGCGCGCGATAAAACAACAACCTACCTTTTTAATCTGGAAGTGGTCAGGGCGCAGCGTCTCCTGGATCTCCTGCTCCACGCCGCGCGGCGCCGCCTGCACCGAGCTGCGGAACCCGTCCAGCACCCCCTTGAACGTGAACTTCTTCATCGCGAAACACCGTGTCGACGCGGGTCCTTTGTCCGAAGGCCGCTCGCGCCGGCCCCGGCTACATCACAGCCGTCCGCGGCGGACAGCAGGCCGGTTTTGGCGGAAGGTAGGTCGCTCGCTCCCGCGCTACTCGCGCCGCTACTGCGCAAGACCGCCCCGGGCCGCCGCCGACGCCGACACGCGCCTGCCACGCCGACGATCGACGAAAACTAGGCGAGGCACCGCCTCCGGAATGTACGGCAATGCGGCTCTGCTCGCCGATCGATAGCCGGGATAGCACACGCCGCGCTACACACGCGCAATGCCGACACGTCGTCTCGGCGAGGTCGCGGAGGACTGGCGGAAAGAGCGCGCCGCGCCCGATCGATGCTCGCGGCCCTGTACGGAAAAGAGATATACAGATATTGCGCATGTAGGCGCGTCTTGCAGAGGAAAAATTTACAACAGCTGATAGCTGCTTCCCATAGTAGCCGATAGGCAGCGCTTCGAACATAACATCGCAACAATCTGCAAAAATATTTGAAGTGTCATCTTCGCTTGTCAACTCGTGTCGCGTGACGTTTGAATGACACTGACATTTCGAAAAGTCAAGCCGGCATATATTGCAGGGATGTTAGGGAGCTCCGTAACCGTAACCGAAACTATCGGATATCCGATATAAAAAATCATCCGTAACCGTAACCGAATCCGAAATGAAAGTTTCGGATAGTATCGAATAGGGGCGGAGCCTAATTGAGACACGTTATGATAAGTTGTTTTGATCGGCCGGCCGCTGCCAGTGCCGACACACAAGCTGCGCGTATTGTTTGTTTTTTTTCTTCTTTGACAAAGTGTTGGTTGTGTTACGGAATCGATTGAATTTGTACAAAATGCGTCCTAAGTCGAGTGCAGTTTGGTCGTTTTTTGATGAAATGACCGATTCCGCAAAATGTAAACAGTGTGGTAAAAGGTTTTCAAGGAAAGGAGGTGGGACTACATCGCTAAAACTTCACCTTAAATCACAACATAGTGATAAGTACGAAGAACTTTTGCTACTGGAAAAAGGTAACCAACAAAATAACCTACAAACAGCCAAGCAGCTGACACCTTTACAAGAGTGTAAAAAACAGTTGACACTCAAAGATTCGTTAAAAAACAAAGGTGCCTGGGATGAAACTAATACTAAACAAAAAGAAATTGATAAATTAGTGGCTGAAATGATAGCGTTACAAAACTTGCCATTTAATTTTGTAGAAGGTGTGGGATTTCAAAGATTAGTGCAGGCAGCCTTACCACGTTATAATCTTAGAGGTCGGCAGTACTTTACTAATTTACTGTGCAATGATATCTACAACAAAATGAAGTTAAAGATTCTGGACTTATTGAAACAATTTGAGAAGTTATCATTTACTACAGATGTGTGGTCCGAGCCCAGCGCAAATGTCTCGTTACTTAGTCTTACTGCTCATGGCATCACGAATAATTATGAAAGAGTTTCTATAATACTCAAGTGTGAACAATTAGAGGGTCGGCACACAGGTGAAATTATAGCGAATAATTTAAACAATATTTTGCAAGATTGGGGCTTAAGCAATGAATCAGTTCATTGTATTTTACGCGACAAAGGATCAAATATGATAAAAGCTATGAGAACGGCCAATTTCCCTGATGCAAACTGTACTATTCATCAACTTCAATTATGTGTTAGATCAGCAATGGAAACCGAAGAATTTATCTCGCCAGTGATTACAAAATGCAAAAAAATTGCTACTCACTTCCATCACTCACTAATTGCTCAAAATGAATTAAAACAAATTCAAACAGAAAGACTGAACCAAACAGAGTTATGTATCGTTCAGGATTGTTCTACAAGGTAAGATATTTCTATTTTAAACTAAAATAATTTTATATAAATGTTTTTTTTTTCTTCTGTACGTTGTTTAATTTCACATATGTTTTATTTATTCACAGATGGAATTCGACTTATTATATGATGGATAGAATATTGAAATTAAAAGACTCCTTGATACTGTATTCGGGCGCGCATACTATACCGATTCCTACTGCTGATGAATGGCTCGACTTGGAAAAGTGTATTGCAATATTAAAGCCATTCGAAGAAATTACACAGGAGTTAAGTAGTGCAACTGCGACAATAGCTTCAGTGATTCCTTTAGTCTATACTCTTAAAAACACATTAGAAACAGAAAAGACTAAACAAGACACATCAGAAAACTTTAAATTAATGATTACAAATATGGTCCATAATATCAGCGTCAGATTTCAGGACATTGAGAATAATAAAATATATACAATAGCTACTTATCTAGATCCACGCTACAAGCTCAAGTTTTTCAATGAAATTACTAAGGAACAAGTACAGACAGAGATTCTAGGAATCGTTGGGTGTTCAAGAACTTCTCATGATGAAGGTCCTTCTTCACCAAAGAGATCACGGACTCAGCTGCCATCAACAAGTTCATACATTCAATCTTGTCTAGCTGAAATATTAAGCGCAAGTGACGAAGAAGAGCACGTAGGTGGTGATGAGGATGATACAGTACCCAATCAATTAATTGTCAAAAAAGCATTGTTAAATGAATACAATAGAGAGAAAAGGTTGACACTCAGTGAAAATCCACTTTTATGGTGGAACATGCATACGAAGTACAACAGTTTAAGTGCTTTAGTCAGACAGTACCTCTCTCCGCCGCCTGGCAGTGTACCGAGTGAACAGCTTTTCAGTGCTGCTGGGTTAATTTATGGTCCTTTAAGAAATAGACTTTCTGGTGATAAGGCTGCGAAATTACTTTTTGTCAAGTATAATTTACCTTTGATAAAATTTGATTATTGAAAATGTTTAATGTTATTATAAATTAATGTAAGACAATGTATGATTAAGTTCAGAATAAAAAAGGAAGATATGATTGTTATGTTTGCACAAATTATAAAAAAGGAAGCTATGATTGTTATGTTCGACTTAAATTATAGTTATAGTAAACTTAATTTAATTCTGATTTCAATATTTTCTTTTAATACGAAATTACTGATTCAGTATAAGTAATAATTTTGTTATTACATTTTCATTTTAGGTGTTTTTGATCTAAATCATCTAAAATTTAGATAATACTCAATATAATATAATTATTTATATTTATTTTTATTTTAAATAGCTGTAATAATTACTCACAGACTGATTGTAATTCCTGCCAAAAACGAAATAAAACTACTTTATTACCTATTAGTATTTTACTTTTAAAATTCCTTAAAAATATAATATCCGTAACCGAAACTAACGGATAATCCGAAATAATTTATTATCCGTATCCGTCACCGTATCCGGTATAATAATCATTCCTATATCCGTATCCTATCCGTAACCGAAATTTCATATCCATAACATCCCTAATATATTGTACGTGATCTGTCACTGTCGGTGTATCATGAGCATGACACTGTCATGTTTTTTCAGATTGTATTTTGATTCATTTATTTGTTTTTTTATAACTGGAAATGACGTTCAAAATAGTGATAAGAAGCTTCCAAAACCTAAGTTACGTCGGTAGTTACAAGAAACTGAGAGATAGACCTATTAAGTAAGTCATTAATATAATTTTAGTATCAAATGGAAAGTGTCTGAGACTAGGATCTGAGATATGAGAAAACCTTTGGAATCCTACCTTATCAGATAAAACTATAATACACTGTACAACCTTACACGAGTGTCTTTCTTTTTGTAAAGTTTGAATTTTATAATATATTTTTATTAGTTACTCCTGCACTAAGAATTTTTTCGAAGAAGAAATTCCTTAGGTATTTTTTTTATACACATAATGATCTTGTTTTGTTTGCTAAATGGCCAGTCAAGCATAAACTTTATGAGAATTTCTGCTCACTATTCTAAATGTTTTTAAGGTTATAAGCTACTTTCACATGTATACTAACTCGCAAAGAAAAGAGAAATGAGACAATTTGTAAACTTTGGAATACAAAGTACCTTTTAATTCCATGATGTTTATATTTTAATATAATATGAAACCATAACATTAGAATTTCCTTCTCTATAAACTTCGATTATATTCATGCCTAGATAGTGTGCTAAATGCACAGAAGCACCCAAAAAATAACTATATTATACATACAAACACACACAATGAGTGCTTTAAAAAAATCTGACATTTCACATAACATGTGAAATCTGTTTTCTTTGCATGGTTTATTTGGATTGCTCTATCTGGGTATGTATACTAGCGAAATATACAAAGCAGTTTAGATAACAACACTAGAATTGGACTTGGAAGTAAAATTGGAATATTATGCAAGTACCTATTTGTTTCTAAGGTTTTCACGCACATCATTCATTAAATAAAACTAGTTTTTCACAGGTTAATATTATAAAAATAAAAAATTGATTCTGGCGACTCAGCCTGTAAAGGCTGCGAAACGTCAATAAAAAAATAAAGTTTCATGCATTAACCCGTGAACGACTAGTTTTATTTAATGCAAGTACCTGTTTCACATAGAAAAACATGCTCTTGTCATATTATTGTTTTTTTCTGTGAATTTCAGATTGTACTGTGCAGCATTAATAGGGGCAGGATGTGCTGCATACAGCCAATACAAGCGAAACACAGCCGATATGAAAGAAATTATCCAGCTAAAGAATTACATGGCAGAACCAATCACACCCGTAGCTCAGCTGGAACGCACCCAGGATGACATGAAGACACAGATGGAACTGCTCATTATGAGAATACAAGCCGAGTTTTGTAGAGCACTTGAGGCCGAGGAGGACAAGGTATACACTCTTTAGCAATCAACTTAATTTTTTTTTGTCGTTAATTGTGTCAGCAGATTTTTCGTTTGCCTCTTTGTTTTATTGTTGGTATTGTTGTGAATACATAGATTTTCTCTATACTTACAGCTATTATTCTCATCTGGATTTTACTATTATATCTATTAAAAACAAATTTTTGTCACAATATCAGTTGTGACATTGTCAAGTGGCCATAGAGTTTCAAATAGATTGCTACAGGCTTAGCTCTTGTTCAGGGCCAAACGTTTTCATAATAACTGTGGTATCCTAAAATTTTCTGTTCACCTTCACAAGATTGACGTTGATATTTTATACAAATGTTTCTCTTGTAGGCATGGCAAGATGAAAAAACTGTGGACGATTATGACTATGATGAGGACATGTATTTGATATTTCCGGTATGATAGTAACATAACTTAGTAATGGTAGATAAAAGAATTTTCGTATTTAATATTTTCAATGTTTTAACTTCTTAAAATATGTATAATTGTAAGCTGCTGACTTAATTTGAGATCAGAAATTAATTCTTAGGAGTAATAAAAGAGTTAAGAGTGTAATATATGAAGCAGATATGCTTTCAGTAATGAATATATAATAATAAATAAATATTTTCTACACTCACACCAATTAGCTTAGCCCCATAGTAAGCACTATAAGGCATATATTATGGGAATCTAGGGTAATGGATACAATACATTTATAAGTATATTTTATCTAGAAATATATACACCGTGTTCCTGAGGATATACATTAACTTTGAATAATACTTCTATAGCTCTTGTTAAACATATCGTACAACGAAAGTAGTAGTTTAAATAGCATAGTTTTTAAGTTATTGGTAATTTAAGTTTAACCAATTTAATTGTGTTGTGCAGTGAGAAACAGTCTTTATCTGTGAGATGTTGCCACTTTGTGCTACCAAAACTATCAAACTATCAACTCTTCATCAATGGTCATTAAGTTATAGTTTCAAAAGTCAAAATTTTAAAAAACATTGTTGACGTCACGAAAAGTTTCAAAAAGTTTATGTGGACATGTGAACCAAAGTTTCAAATGCGACGTTGCCAGCTCAGGTAAAGAGCAATTCATATAAGATAAATTACATCTAAGCATTTAGTTTGTATGAAAATAAAAACTGTTAAAGAAATTGGAATTCATTAAAGTGTCCATAGTAAAAAATGTTCAATTTAATAGTCTGATTAACATGCCAAAGTTAGTGTATAACCTCAGGAACACGGTGTATATATATAAACATCTATAACTAAGGTAAAAAGACCTTAAGACGTATTCATCATATTAAGTTTTCCCTCACTGGGATTCAAACCTGGGACATCTCAAGTAGGTGACACCTTGAAACCTGGTGTATATACCACTCGGCCATGGAGGTTGTCGAGACAGTATAGACAATATTAATAAATGTACAATATATTATGTAGTTCCGAGTAAGCTGTAAGCACTATAGGTCCCAGTTAAGCGGTTTACTCTCAGTTAAGCGGTTTTTAGTATTGTCGCTAAAAAGATACTGCCGAGTCTGACAAACATATCTGCTGTATTACATTACAATAGTTATTAAAATGATACACTTGCGGAAAGTAGGTTATTACGAATAAGAACCATGGAGTGAAAACACGAGCGTAGCGAGACATGCAACGTTTCAATGTATTTTACGAGGAATTAAAATAATAATTATAACCCGTTTATTTAAATTACATACTTAACTTCATATATTAGACATAGTATCGTTGTGTAATTTAAAAATGGAATTATTTTTACTCCAAAACATGGGTACCAAGGAGGTAGCTTATCAAAGGTTTTATTTAAATTTCGACAAAGAGAAAGCTGTTTATTGAATAAAAATACACAAATGAACACAATGATGCATGGCGCTAGGGCGTAGCGCAAGGCTTAAAATTAAAAAAAAAACTTTTCCACGCACGTGCATAACAAAAGAACACTTTCTAAGTCCATTGAAAGGTATTTTTAGTCACTCGAAGCTACCGTAAAACATGATAGCTCGTATTCCCAGGACGCAAAGTTCAAAGTGGACCGTTGGATCCGCAAGGAAGGCGGCGGCGGTATCACATGCGTGCTGCAAGACGGGCGAGTGTTCGAGAAGGCCGGCGTCAACATATCCGTGGTGTCCGGGACTTTACCGCCCGCTGCCGTTCAGCAAATGCGTACCAGGTACGACAAATTAAGAGATACAGTAGAACCCGTTTAATACGATCACGCTTAATACGATTTCTCGCATAATATGCCATTTTGCGTCAGTCCCTGCAACTTGAGACATGTTTTCGTACATTTCTTAACGCTTAATACGATTCGTCATCCCGTTTAATACGCCTAAATCGCCAACGTACCACACATATTACCTCTTGCGGCAGCGGCCTGCGATTGACGTGACGACAGTCGAGCGACGCACGCTAAGCGGCCCCCAGGATTTTCTTGGATATTCTTCCATTGATGACAATGTGGCACAGTATAAAATTAAATGAGAATGTGAATAACACACAAGAAGAGGCCCTAACTGATAATGATCAATAAAAAGATGAGTCAACTCCGATTTTGTCACACGCCCAGGCATTATCAGTAGTCAATGATTTAAGACGCTATGTAATTTCATTGAATCAAACCGAAGACGCCTAGCAAAAGTTAAATTATATTATAAATCTTGTAATTGCTAATGCCTCAAAATCTTTTTGACAAACTAAAACAAGTGATTAATTCAAATAACGTAATAATAAATAATAATGCACTACATTTTATAACATACATAATTCTTAAATACTGTACATTTTATACCTCAATACCAACATTCAAAATTACCCTATCCCGCAATCCCGCATAAAACGCTTTCCCGCTTAAGACGCGTTTTTGGTTAAGTCCATGTGAAATCGTCTTAAACGGGTTTTTCTGTATTACCCGCTCGAATTGTAGCGCCCGTCTGGGGAAGTAACCTACAGGTGGTAGGTGACCACAGTAGATTAACACTACCTTTTGGTGGTGTTGTGTTTCTGCCGGTGACCTGCCGGCAGAAGCAGGGTTAGGGTAGACAACGGTGAAAATGATAATTCTTGTATCGCTAAATTACAGTTCTCCAGTGCTTACAGTCTCCAAGCCAAACCGGGGACGGACAGATATACTATAATAGTAGGGGAGCCCAAGCGGGGATTTTTGGATTTACTCGAGCGCGGCAGAATAACATATGGGGAGCAACCTTGCATCTAGTTAAGTACTCACACCATACCTGAGCCCTGTATCTAGGGCCGAACGTCTAGGGCAGCAAAAACAAAATTTCGACGAACGGTCATGACTTATGGTCGCGCCCAAATCGTCAGTCTTTTGAATATAAGCTACTAGAGGGTTCATGTACTTAGTACTTAACTAGGCGCAAGGTTGCTCCCCATATGTTATTCTGCCGCGCTCGAGTAAATCCAAATATCCACGCTTGGGCTCCCCTACTATAAGGGTTCCTTATCAGGACTTTGGAACCCTAAAAGATAGAATAAGGTTTTAAATTTCAATTAGAAACTTTGGTGCAAGTGGTTTTCAGTTTGAGTAGTGACATTTTTATTTATTTATAAAGACACAAACAGGTTACAGTAAACAAATAGACAGTACAGAAATTAATTAACTATAGTTACATTGACATTTCGCACTCGCAAACTATTCGAATTCGATAATGGTTTGTGCTAGAGGTACAGTTCAAGGAGGACGCTTCCGTTTCGTAATTGAGACATAAAATATGATGTTTACGAAAATGGCGGCGTTAGTTCCAGCTTTCGCCACATTCATAAACATCCTTGTCGTCCTATATCATAGTTTTCTTTCACAGAGGCAAGACTCTTCAAAACAACGAATTGCCTTTTTTCGCCGCTGGAGTTAGTGCGGTCATTCACCCGCGCAACCCCATGGTCCCCACCATACACTTCAACTACAGGTACTTCGAAGTGCAGGACAAGGATGGTAAGTTGTCTTCAATTTTCATGGCCACTATCACAGTAATTTATGGAATTGCTATCGTGTATAATGCGATTCAACTAAGAATAGGACCGACTGAGCGCCATATTTTGACGTCATAGCTGTCAATTCAAACCAAATATGTAGAGTGAGCAAAAAAAGATTTTATTTAATAAAACTTCTAAATATTTACTAAGACTGAGAAAAAAAACAAACTATTTTTTAATAATATTTATTTATTAAGACTGTGTGAAAAAAAAGCATAAATCAGAATCTAGTTCTTCAATTCCGCTCATCTCTGCATTACCGCCGGAATAGTTATGAATAATCACGTCATGCACTAGGTCACATACGAACATGCATCTTTTAGGTAAACGAAAGGTGTAAATTGAGTTTCTGAACGCAACTTAAAGTGACATTTGGTTGACGGTTTAGGTTATCAACTATTCATAACCAAAGCTCAATAAATGAAAAAAAATATCAATCAATATTAATTATCAATATTAATTATCAATATTAATTATCAATATTATGTTATTGTTTGTTTACAAATGTGTGGTTTTTATTCTAGAATTAGATGAGCGATAAAAAAGGGTTCCAAAATATTTTTTAAAACCGTACTTTTCAAGCGACATTTGACAGATGGAGGTCATTGACTTTCCTATTCTTATTTGAATCGCATTATACCTTGTGTTTTGCAAGTCCCCGATATTTCGGCACTGTTGGAAGTGCCAGGATCACGCAGTAACTGAAGTAATTGCGGGTAGATGTTATTGGCAGACATATCGGTCTACCCTCCGGCGCAGTCGTACCATTATTCACTCGAAACTGTACCCCTAGCAGGAACCATTATCGAATTCGAATAGTTTGCAAACCGAAATGTCAATGTCAAATTTTGTATGGAAACTTGAAACAGCAGCGGCACAAAGTTCGTAACAAGAACTAAAAATCAGTAGGTGCACATTTGACAATGACATTTCGGACTCGCAAACGATACGAATTCGATATTGGTTCGTGCTAGGGGTATTGTTCTCGACACTCTACAACAATCATATCTGATCACGACACGACACGAGTTTTTTGATATTATTAAAGATGGTAAGCTTTTTATCTGGGAACTAGAGGACTTGATATTTCCGACCATACACTTTAAATAAAGATACTTTGAGGTGCACGACAAGGATGGGAAGCTTTTCATCTGGAAACTAGCTGCTGCCCGCGACTTTCCCCGCATTAACTTTTTCTTTAATCTTACAAAAGTAAGCTATGTCCACAATCCATGTCATAAATTGTATGCCGAAAATAAACTTTTCAACCCACCACCTCGGAAAGTGTAATTTTGCGCTTCGAAATCTGGCTGGAAAATTCTATTTTATTCGCTTGAGCGGCAAAGTAGATTTGAATTTAGAACATCACATATAATGAGTACTCAATATAATTGTAAATTCAAAACGTCATTAAACCTATTTAATGTAACCTCTATGGTGCCAAATTTATGATTAGAACTTTTTAAATTGTGAAAAAATTTAAATTTGGAACCTTCTTGGTTTCTTTGTTTTATTTGCGTGCTTCGCGCCATTCTAGTTTTTCACGTTTTATTGCTTAAATATTTTGTCATTATAAATTGTTTTCTTTTTCATTTTGTCATTTCCTCGCTGAGGTGGGATGAAAAGTTACGTATTGCACTCGAGTGGAAAGATTTTTCACCTTGTGCTCGTTTGTTTCCCTCGCTGACGCTCAGGATTCTAATTTAGAATCACTCGCTGCGCTCGTGATTCAACTTTAGAATCCTTCGCTTGCTCGGTCATCCAAATCGAGCACGCGGTTAAAAAGGAACTTTCCACTCTTGTATAATAAATAACTATTAATCCTGTAGACATAAAGCCGGATCTCCAGCAAAATTTTTTCTAAAACATTGAACTAAAACACATACACAAAACTTTATTTTTGGAACATGTTTCTCTACACACGCCGTCTACTGCTCACGTGGCTGTCGTACACAAAATATACAGGGCTACGTTCAAAAACTACGATCCAGGTGCAACAAACGTCAAATTGACAAAAGTTTCGTACATTTTATGTCAATACTAGTGGCCTGCCCTTGCTTCGCTTCGGTATAGGGCTGAAGTGTAGACTACAGTTTTTGTTCTCAGGCTTGTATCTTACACAATGACATTCATCTATGATTCTTCTTATACCTGCATGCAAAGTCTCAGCCCGATCGGTTTAAAATTGATAAAGTTTCATACAAACTTTCATTCCCTATTTTATCCCCTTGGGGGTAGAATTGATCAAAATCCTTTCTTAGCGGATGCCTACGTCATAACATCTACCTGCATGCCAAATTTCAGCCCGATCCGTCCAGTGGTTTGGGCTGTGCTTTGATAGATCACTATGTCAATCAGTCACCTTTGAATATAGTTTGGAACGGAGCCCCCGCTAGCGAGTTGTCAAAAGAATTGCCGATGAAACAATACCCTTGACCTGCATGGGAATTTGTGTACAACACGTACAACCGACGGTCTCGGAAAGCAAAATCATTCTTGATACAAACAAATAATTATGTGTAATGAAACAAAGTTTTATGTAGACAATTTGGTTGAATGTTGATATATTTTTAGCTCGAGCCCCAGAGGAGCTCGATGGCGCAAGTGGTTAGCGTGTTCGGATGCGATCGTTGAAGTTAAGCAACTTTCGTAGTGGTCGGTCATTGGATGGGTGACCAAAAATTTACTATCTCGAACTCCTCCGTGCTTCGGAAGGCACGTTAAGCCGTTCGTCTCGGATGCATCTGCAGTCGTTAGCACCCACCAATCCGCACTGGGCCCGTGTGGTGGGTCATGGCCCAATCTCCCTATTCCATCTGTAGGGAAGGCCTGTGCCCCAGCAATGGGGACATTAATAGGCTGATGATGATGTGTAGGGAAAACACGCGCTGGGGGGAAACACCTGTCGGCGTCGCATTATTTCGTTGGCCGCACTGTAATTTCATTTGCTTGTCATCATCACTTTGATGCAGGAGTCCAATGGTGGTTCGGTGGAGGCACCGACCTAACTCCTTATTACCTGATCGAAGAAGATGCTGTCCACTTCCACCAAACCCTGAAGCTAGCTTGCGACGCCCACGACAGCAGTTATTACGCCAAGTAAGTACTATATACGAGATTTTGGAGTAGGATTAATACTTTCTTGGAGACAATAATTGTTAACCAAATTTAAAGAAGGACGCTGAAGATTATTGTTAACCACTTAAAAGTTTTCTTTATATATTTTTGAACATTATAATGTAATAATCCACTCATTTAGTTATTAACAATTTTAGCACAGTAACAATATTTTGCACGTGTTATCCATTTGAAAGTCTGCCAACGAATGCTCCTGTATTGCTCGGATGAACACTCGGTTACCCCTACCAAAACGATCCAAAATGGCGCGAAACCAGCAAGCACTTGAATTAGTCAAATTCAGTACTTATTTTAAATTAAAGTCAAAGTCAAACATTTATTGGATATCATAATTGTATAAAAGATGGTAGGTATGGTGATATAATATAATCGACCGAATTATGTTACCCATTTGGGCATAGCAAAGTAAACTGTATTAGCGAGCAACGGACATTCCATAAATATAATTATAAATAATGGATTATTTATTATTCCTAATTTTACTTATTTATTACTACTATTATATTTATAATTAATTAAAAAAAACATCATATTTGTTTATGTAAATTATTAATTAATCAGTAACAAAGTTCAATACATTTATAGTGAGAAAACAAAGATAACCATATAAGTAAACTTAACGTCACATTGATAGGTGGAGATATAAAAATATGTCTTTTTGTGAAACAAAATTAAAATCGGTCACGAATTATTACATGTAAATATGAAGAGAGACAAAGCGTTAAGAGAGCAGCCTGCTATGAATGAATGAATGAATGATCACTTTATTGTACACCATGATATTTCAAACAATTAATTAAAACTATTACATAATAGTACACACGGCGGCCTTATCGCTAAGAAGCAACTACCATTAATAACACTTATAAATAATTATGTACAACAAAAAATAAATAAAATACAAATACATAAACATAATATATCTATATATAAACACACTAACACTTTAATCATACTTTGGATATTGTGAAAACCTGCTAAGTGTTAAGTAATGTTCTTTTAACATTTTTTTAAAACAAGCTAATGTTTTAGCACCTGTGATTGCTTCTGGCAAGGCATTCCAAAAACGAGCAGCCTGAACTACAAATGACTAAATGCTATCTCCCTCTCACTAGGCTGGATAGCACGGAACAGATAAAAATTATTTCGTTATTAGTCTCCGCTTTCTTTACTCCCCCTTTCGCGCCCACTCACAATGAAAAAATACAAAAGAAAGATGTGCTTATTTTGTCTACATCGTGTTTATTTTTTTGAAGTATGAATATATACTTCTAACCAAACAGGAACAATGACCAACATCCATGCTTCTTTGCTACTTTACTAATATTATAAATGCGGAAGTGTTTCTGTCTGTATGTTACCTCTTCACGTTTAAAACGCTGAAACGATTTAGATGAAATTAGTTACAGATATAGTTTGAGTCCTGGAGAAGGATGGGAAGGACTGCTAGATATTTAAATCTAAAGAAAATTTTACTAGAGGAAATTCCTCGCGAACCAGGCAGCAGACGGGATTTGAATCCGCACCTTCCGCTATCACTGACCATAATGCTGCCGCTGCCCTAACGGCCATGTCGAATTTTTTCTAGTATTTCTTAGGCTGCAAGGCAGCACCATCTCTTCGTATTGTAGGTAACCCACAATGTCAAACGAATACCTTTATAAATATTAAAAAAAAGATCTTAAGAATTAAACATCTAACAGTAAAATGGTAAAAAATTGAATTTAATAAATCATGTTTAAACGGTATAGATGCACTGATTTATTTATTTATGGACGTTTCGCATCCTTATCAGGGTGCGTAGTCTGAATTATTATAATTATAATTGTATAATTATATCGTCAGACGACGCATTATAAAAAGGATGCGAAACGTCAATAAATAAATAAATCAGTGCATCTATACCGTTGAAACTTGTTTTATCTAAAGACCTAAGAAACAAAAAAAAATATTATAATTTACTTCTTTAAATTAATTCAATTCATAAAGTCAACTCATATAGTTATCTTATTTTTACATAAAGACCTCAAAGGGACAGATTTATTATGCTATAAACCATACTTTTGAACAACGTGCGTACCTCTACACCCTGGGTTCGGAACCTGGGAGTAATTACCCCTCCGGGGGTAAATCAGCTATACTTCGGGGGTAACTAAGAACCTAATTATATGGTCAAATCTAAATAATAAGAAAATACTAAATAGAGCATGCGCTCCTTCTTGCTAGCGAGCCCGCGGAGTGCTGAGTGTGGGAAGCGGGGAGAGATTTTCTCCTGATGATGACATTATTAGAGACGAAGATGTAGCGGCCAAATTGATATTTCTTGGACTGATGATAACATTTTAAAGTCGGGGTAAAATCTGTTTCCCTAATAGGTTACAGGGGTAGCAGTATTGGAAAGGTTAGGAAACACTGCTCTACACAACCTATCTGCTGTACCAACTATCTTCGCGTTTGCAAATTATTACCACTTAACGTCAGGTGGGATAAAGCGATTTGCCTACCTGGCTATAAAAACACGTCAAATTGTGTATCTTTGTATGGTAGATTCAAACAATGGTGCGACGACTACTTCCACATCCCCCACCGCGGGGAGAGGCGCGGAGTGGGCGGCATATTCTTCGACGACTTGGACCAACCCAGCCAATGGGCTGCCTTCAACTTTGTCACCTCCTGCGCCGAGGCCGTTATACCAAGCTACCTGCCAATTGGTAAGATATATTAACGGTCTTATTCATCATTCATTTTTTTTTTTTTAATTTATTGGCAATGGATACTTTGTCCTTATGCCTAGCTTATTACTAAGAACATGCAACTTAATATATTAGTTAATTATTTACATTTTACAATTTTTCTACAGTGTTACTTATAAAATTAAATATAGGTTTATAAAATAAATGTTTCCCTAAAAATTTTACACAATTCTGATGGTATGTCAAAATCATTAGTTTCACAGATATTTTGCAGTTTCGTTATTAAAATTAAACGTTGTACGTTGAACTTTTGACATTTCATAATAATATGTTCTAAATCTCCTATTTCTCCTGGACAAAATGTGCAGTTTGCATTATCCGTAATCCGTAATCGTGTTAAATGGCCACTCATTTTAATTCATTCCAGTGTTGCCATATAAACGGATTTGTCTGTATCCATACGGAATTTTAACACTTAAACCGGATAATAAGAGCATTCGGATTTTTATACGGAATTGGCAGGAAAATGAAAACAGTAGTATATTAGTATTTCTAATCCCAATAAAATGATTTTAATACAACGTAACAATGCACATTATTTGATCCTGCTTCGATACCAGCGATTTGTATTTTTTCAGCGAATTTATCAAAAATAAAAACATACATATATAGACTGTTAAACACATAACCCTGTCTGCGCGTCGCGCTTCGCGCTCTTGCGTTGCGCAGCCGGGTAAAAAACAAACACAGGTAAAGTACATATGGGCCTAAGGGAGTCCCCTGAAACATTTGGTTGGTAGTGATAATGAGAGAAACAAAAAGTTTTAAATAGGTATAGTGATATTCACTATTTTGTTTAGTTATAACTAATTGAATCATTGTCTTGTTTTTGTATATACGACGGCATTATTAATTATTATATAAGAAGGTGTTCTGAGCAGGCCAGCGATGTTACAGCCTAAGAATTTATTATTAATGACTCAATATTTATATACTTATAAATTAATTTGACATTATTTTATTTTATAATTAAAATTAAAAAACAATTGATTTAAAAGATTTTTCTTCTTTTCATAACAAATTTCTCACAAAAATTCTTCTTAAAGTGCTCTAAATGATATCAATCAAAGGTAGGTTAAAATATTTATACGAATTTCGTAGAATTTGGCAATGAAAATTACGGAAACACCGGTTTAACGATCTGGCAACACTTATTCTTTCTTATCTATACTAATACAATGAAGAGGTTAAGTTTGTGACTTATGGCCAAAGATATTTAATACTCTAGATACACCACTTACGCTCAAAATGTGAATTCCATTCCTTTTTTTTCTGAATTTCCTTCATATTTGTTACTTTATTTACGCTTTTTGTGGTAACCCCCGTCTTTCTTCCCTCTCTTTTCTTTAATACTTTTGCTTCCGCAAATCTTTTCGACTTTAAAAAGTACTGATGTTGTCTATATTAAAAAGCAAGGACAAGGACGACGCCTATGGCTACTACGAACTGCAATAGCAGTCATTAAGACGGGGACGATACTTAGAGTTCAGCCTGGACTACGACCGCGGCACCTAGTTACCTTACCCGACTACCACATTTTATGATGGTCCTTCGAGCCGGATGTCTTACTTTATAGTTATTAATCTTTGACTTTCCTATTTCATGTTCTCCATAGTGAAAAGGCGTAAGGACGACGCCTATGGCTACTACGAACGGCAATGGCAACTCCTAAGACGTGGAAGATATGTGGAATTCAACCTGATCTACGACCGCGGCACTAAATTCGGACTGCACACGCCGGCCGCCCGCTACGAGTCTATACTCATGTCGCTGCCGCTCAACGCTGTGAGTGTTCTAAATTCAAAATAGAACTTTTTATTAGAGGATTTTTCTACAATATGGCAACATTACAGGACTCTTTTCTTTCCCGCCCTTCTAAAAATAGATAGGATGTTAAGCTTAAGTTGAAAGCGGCGAAGAAATCTACACAAATATAAATCAAATGATGCAACAATATTTAAAATTTCTTACATAATATCCGACGACGACGACCTCCTTGGCGGAGTGATTTGTACGCCGGGTTTCATGGTGTCGCCGACTCGAGAGGTCCCGGGTTTGAATCCCGGTGGGGGCAGATGTTTGTGTGATGATTACGAGCATTTGTACTCCAGTCATGGATGTTTAATATGTATTTCTATATAAATATACTTATATATGTTACGTATATGTATTCCATCCGTTACCCTAGTATCCCATAACACAAGCCTTATAGTGCTTAGCTAGGCTAATTGGTGTGAGTGATGGAAATATTTATTTATTTAATATTCTTTTAAACTTTCATGGTCACAAACATTACAGTTATTTATGTTATTAACGGGATTGTTACCATGTATTTAAAACTCGCTAAAAACAAGGTAACAATCCCATAAATAACATTAATTACTGTAATTCTTACATTGTTACAGTGTCTATACTAAATTAAGTCCTGTGTTGCCTAAATCAAAACCAAAGAATTAAAACTAAAGATTTTGATCATGAATATTCCGATTTCCTGACTGACCTGACCTGTTGTGTTTAAGTTCTATAATTTTTCTTTGGAAAGAATTTTCTTGTATTGATTCTTGCTGAAAATGTACATGTGACTTATTTTACTTGTAAAGTAAGAATACGTTTGGTCCAGTGCATCTTTCATTATTTCTCTTCTTTGCAAATTGTGAATTTTGTTTACTTTTGCAAATGAGGAAATACAAGATTAAATAATTTGATAAAAATTAAAATATTTTGACCTGGCTACACTGACTGACAGTATTTGTCCACAGAAATGGGAGTACATGCATGAACCGAAACCTAATTCTCCTGAAGAAGAATTAATGAAAGTATTAAGAGAACCCAGGGACTGGCTTAATATCGGAAAAACCAAAAAAACAACAGCATAATATCTGACATTAACATTTGTGATCTGATACATAATTTTCTGATGAATTATATATATATGTATACCTAATCAAATAAATAAATATCTGACAGCATAAGGTGTAAAATGTTAAGGATAAAACAATAATTGTATTATTACGTTTAGGTTGTGGACTCAAATGTTTATGAAGCTGTTTATAAAATCATTGTATTTTTGTTGATGCACCCAATATTTTAATAAAAAAAATATTTTTATAAATGTTTTGTTTTCAATTATGTTGTTTCATTTTTGATTTGCTCCAGTTATATCACTACACTAGTGCCGGCGACTTCGTTCGAAAATTGGTACCTAACCTAACCTAAAACAAATCATTTTTCACTCCTAGAATAGTTTTTAGATAAATCCATCTTGTCCATTTCCGGAACTTGAACTATATCTATACCAAATTTCATCTAAAGCAGATTAAGCTTGAAAAGGTAACACAGACGACACACTTTCGCATTTAAAATATTAACTGCCGTTTAAGTTTATTGAGAATCGTACAGAAACTTAATTTTTTTCTAGATAAAAGAGTATGTCATAAACTATTGCGTACCAAATGTCATCAAAATTCGTTAATTAGTTTTAGCATTATTGAGTAACAAACTTATAAACCTTCACAAGATAAAGCCACTTCTGCAATGACTGATCATCGGATGGATGACCAAAAATCAATTATAAGCAGGTATGTTCAGTCGTTGGTCCTGGTTGCATTTGCAATTATTACCACCCACCAGTCGGGCCCGCGTTGTGAGTCATCATCACATACAGCCCAATCTCCCTATTCCATCCAGGGAAGGTTAGGTCTCCACCCATGCAATAGGGAAGATGCAATATTTTTATTTTTGTTTTCATTTTAAAGAATTCCATGTAGAATAAACCACAGATATAATAAAAAATTAAAACATTGTGATTTATCGGAAAAAATGCGGTTTTAAATTGACAATTTAAATTTTCGCGCGAAAACGAACCTATGGTTGCGATGACGTCACTCCTGTCTGTCACTGGTCGTACTTGTTCGTCGCTGGCTTTAAATTTTCATACTTTTGCATATTTTTTCGACTGCCGAAATATTTTTTTGAAAAATTTAAAATGGACTGTCCATCAACATGTGATCATAACAATACCACTAATATTCCGAAAAAGAGCCGTGTTGACTCATGTTTTGTGCCAATCTACTTCAACAAAGTTTCCAAATAAATTGTTTTTGACTGGAACTTCTGACCCAAAACTGAATAAAAAGTGGTTTCAAGCTGCGAAGAGAAATGACAAGTATTCTCCAAAGACCATTATTCGATGCTGTGAAGATCACTTTTACGTAAGCCGGCGAATATACTTGTTATATGCTTGATTAATCTGCTTGTACGTAAAAACGCATTAGTAACCTACCTAATACTTACAAAACCTGTCTATAACATATTTTTAATTTTACAGTTGGAGAATGACGTCGAAAATAAGATAAAGTTTAAAATGTGTGGCACAATCTTCACATTGGCAGGCTGAACCAAGCTTTGCGTTTCATTTAAAATAACTGTAACACGTACCGTACGTACCTTCTTTACGTACTTTATGCTCCGGAGAACTCGACTTTTTACTGTACATAATTCTCCATCTCTTTTTATTTGGATATAGCCGATTGCATTATCGCCGTAAGATTTGTAGAAGCCGCTGAATAAAATACGAAGTTTAACAACTACGATTTTTACATACCGTAGTAATTTAGTCCCTTTCATTTCTACACTTAAAGACTCTGCACTTTGGACAAAAAAAGTTATAACCATGTCAACACTAACTCTTGGTAAATTCCTGGAGTCTGCTTTGATAAACTTCCATTTTTATTAAATGTAAAAAAACGCAATTAATATCCCTTAAAATAATATTTACTTTAACAACCATAACCTCAAAGAAGTTGTCATAACAGGAGTGACGTCACTAAATGCTGATTGGTGTTTTAAAATACGTTCTGTTTCAAGTATTTTTAATTCGTAATAATTGTTAAAAAACAACATTATGTAAAATAAAAACGTTGCAGTGGCAATTCTTTTATATTTTTTTAACATTTTAATCATAAAATTATCATAAATATTATATATGCATTTTCCCTATTGCGACAATAAGGCGCTTTGCAGACGACGGGGCGGGGCGGGCCGGTCAATTTCGCCACGAATAATAGCACAAAGTGAATCCTATACTACAAACGCACACAGAGGGCAAAAAGACCGCTCCTTGGGTGCCCGGCGGGCAGTGGCGGCGCGGCATGTCCGCGGCTGCCCGCCGTGGATCATATAAACCAGTTTATATGCAGTAACGCAGACGGCGGCGCGGGGCGGTCAGCTCAGTCCGCGCCACGCGCTTTTTAGTGATGGACTATTCACTAGAACGAACGTCCTGAACTGACCGCCTCTGCCCGTCGTGTGCTAAACGCCTAATAAGCAGATTCTGATGATGAATTATGGTGTGAGCGAAATCCTAGGTCCATGAGGGATGGATGGCATTTTACAGGAAGGCAATGCCAATAATATACTTTTTTATTTTTTGTTTTCTGTAATGGCAACACTCAATTGTAATGTCAAACATGTCATTTGCGATGATCGTGTTGTGAATGTGTGGTTTTTGTATTTTATTGTTTACCTGGCATTTTTTATTGCTTTAACGCTTCTATTTATACGTCATCGCCCTTACTGAGCATAATCCAGCTCACGAAAAATTCACACTCCCCATTTCTTATTGGAAATGTGCTAAGTATGTGTCGCGCGTAACCAAAGCATCGTTCCTACATTCTTATACCATAAATGTAAGGTAACGTTTGTTTCCTATGTGATGTTAGTGCAAATCGGCGCCGGGTAACGCAGGAAGATGCCTTTCAAGTTGAAACTGAAGAAGACTCGGCAGTACAATGTAGCGTCAAAGAGTTTGTTTGTTATTAGTGTGGAGTTGTTAGACGGTGGTGTAGCAGATTGTACGCTGTCTGTGGACAGCTCAGGGCAGGAGTGTCTCGATAACGTGTGTCAGAGGCAGGCGATAAACCAGCCAGAGTTCTTCGGTCTCCGCTACATAGATAGGAACCAGCAACCACGATGGGTGCAATTGGATCGGCCACTGAAACGCCAATTGGACAAATACGCCTCTTCCCACCAATTGTATTTAAGAGTGATGTATTATGTGATATCTGGCACGAGTTTGATCACAGATGAGGTTACCCGCTATCATTACTTCTTGCAACTAAAGAATGACTTGGTAGAGGGTCGGATCATATGTGATTGTCAGCAGGCAGTCCTCTTAGCTTCATACAGTAGACAAGCCGAGTATGGTAACCATGACAGGGAGAGACATACTGTGGAATATTTGAAGAATTTGCTGACATTTCCAAAGCAAATCCTAGATGGAGGCCAAATAATTGATGGCAGCAATTTGGCAGAGTCAGGAAAGCTAGAATATCTGACAGCCGCAGTGATACAGCACCATATGGCACTGCACAATATGTCACAGGTATGTCTTATTAAATAAGTATTATGACAGAGACTTAAGCAATTTTAATTATCAATAAATTGTGACCTTTGTAAAGAAATAAATTGCTTATTTTTGTTTCTTTACCTGAACAAATCCTAATTAAATTTATGTCATTTATAATGCAGTTAACAACCACAATTATATTCTTGTGTAACTTGTATGAACCATTAGTAGATAATTAGGTTTAATGGAATGTGCCAAGCTTCCACACCTGCACAAACATCAGTATCATTATCTGATAACATCACAACAATTGTAACACTATTTTCCACATCAATATTGCAATAAAGTAATTTTAAAAGATATAATCAGTCAGTTGCACCAATTTTTGTTTTTAGATCATATTTAAACTAAATCCATTTAAAAACATCACTGTCTTTGATGTCTGTTTGAAGAAAATTAAGATAAAAATACATGAAATGTGATAACATTTTTCTTTAGCAGTCATGTAGAATGACGCTTAAACATTTAAATTTTAATTTTATTAAAAATATTAGTTCCAAATAGATCTCAGTGATGATTCAATTTTTCTAAAAATGATCAGTTCTCTTAAAAAAATTCAAATCCGTTCTGAACTTTTCATTAATTGATTATCAAAGACATTTGAGCAAACCAGTATTACCAGTAGTCCAGCAGATAAATAAATGGTAATTTACAAATTGCAATATCACTTACCCCAATAGGGGTATATAAATAGGTAGTAAATAACTGTTTTATCATATTTCATTTAAACGGTGCCAAGCTAATATTAAAACAATTTATGTTTCTCTTACAAGATTTCTGCTGGAATGACAATGAAATTATTTCTAACAACCTTGACTGAATTGAATTTCTGACTAAATAAAACCATTAAGAACATTTTAAAGTTTGTGGTGGCCAAGGAGCTTGCTGCAGCTTTTATACTATGCTAATTAGCAAATAATAAGTCTAGAGTGCAATCACAAGCAGATAAATATAAAGTTATATTAAAAAGGCTTATTTACTTATTAACATTTTTTTCAGAAATATCAAAATAATAAATACTTCCAAACTGCTACAGCTTAAAAAAAAAGTTAAATCAGCTGTTTTCGATACAAATGTCACTTTATGAATTCAAATTTTAGATGAAATAACACAAAATGAAAAAGTTTAAATAAACTGAAAACTTAAATGACATGGACAATCAAAGAACCAGAACCATATTTAAAATAAAAAAACAAATTAGGCACTTTCCAAAAGAATCCTCCTACTCCTATTCATTAAAAAAATTACCTAATATGTATTACTTTATGTTTAAGTAGGTAAGTACATAATGTATTTTTATCAAATACATGGTGATGAATTTTTCATACTTTGAAAAATATTCCAGAGTTATAAGTAAAGAAATTACATTATGAAGGGTATATTACTTTGGTTACCCATTCCCTTGGTCTTAAATTTCCTGTTAAAATAACTATTACTAAAACTTATACATTTATCATGAGATAAAAAAGACATTTCTTATTTAATTTCTGTATGCTTCATTAAGGAGCTCGATAGCGCAGGTGTTTAGCGCGTTCGGCTGCGATCCTTGAAGTTAAGTAACTTTCGCAGTGGTCGGTCATTAGATGGGTGACCAAAATCCTCTATCTCGAATTCCTCCGTGCTTCGAGAGGCACGTTAAGCCGTTGGTCCCGGATGCATCTGCAGTCGTTAGCACCTGTCAATCCGCACTCGGCCCGTGTGGTAGATCATGGCCCAATCTCCCTATTCCATCCATAAGGAAGGCCTGTGCCCCAGCAGTGGGGATATTAATAGGCTTATGATGATGATGCTTTATTGTATTCAACTAATGGCATTTTTGCTTGAAAACTTGGCCCTCTTTTCACTACAACATTACTACTGAGACATGCTAACCATCGCACGGCATTAATATCAGTTTCGTAATGAAAGTATGAGAACAATGAGTAATTTTGATATGATTAGTCCATGTGTTATCTCGTAAGCGATCGTTATGCAGATAACGCCGGCCACAGTCGCCGTGAAAACGTAATATCGTTAGATGATTGTAGCGATACGGTGACGTCGTCGCGCCGCCTAATTACGTACAGAGATGTGAGAAGTTTTTACGATGTGGGGTTCCATTGATGCGCGTTTCCCAGCCGCAGTAGGCCTTTCATTTTGCCGCCCGCTTGCTGTTAGTGTGTTGGTAATCTGAGACGATTGCATGAACTTTCGCAATGACCAGCTGCTTTTATATAACGAAACAGAGAATGGGTATATTTTAAACTCACTCATACCAGGTTTCGCTCCCTTGCCAAATGACACTGCTGTCGAAGATATGATATCAACATGAGACATAAACAATTCCACATTAGAAGCAAATCGAATTAAAGCGAAGTTCGTTTTCGCTTCGCCCATGTCGCTACGAAGTATAAAGCTAAACCATACCAGCGATGCGGACCTTCGAATTATGCCACATTTCATTTGAAATAAGTTGTGTTACACATTTTCCTGCAAGGGGTAACACTGCCAATTTACAATCAACATCATCAGCCAATGGATATCCGTCCACCTCTAAGCATTCTTTGGACCTCCACACACATCGATCTTACAGCTCGGCCACAGCCATTACTTAGTAGTGATGTAACGAATATTTGCATCCGCATTCGCGAATATTTGCATCCGCATTCGCGAATATTTGCATACTTTTGAATATTCGCATTCGCAAAATCTCTGCGAATGATTTGCGAATATGAATATTAAAAAAAACAATTTGAAGAATCTAAAGAAAAGTTTACTAGAAAAAAATCCACCCGGACCAGGCAGCGGACGGGACTCGAACCCGCAACCTTCGCTATCCAGGCGAATGCACTGACCATGAATAGGGCCGTGGTAGCATAATGGTCAGTGCATTCGCCCGGATAGCAAAGGATGCGGGTTCGAGTCCCGTCCGCTGCCTGGTCCGCGTGGATTTTTTTCAAGTAAACTTTTCTTTAGATTTAAACATCTAGCAGTTAAATGCTTAAAAAATAAATAAAATCATAACTATAATTGCTATTTTTTCTTTCAAATGTTTAATACTTGAAAAAGTATTCATTTGACATTGTGGGTTACCTACAATGCGAAGAGATGGCGCTGCCTTGCAGCTTAAGGCTAGGAAAATTTCGATGCGGCTAATAGGGCCGTGGTAGCATAATGGTCAGTGCATTCGCCCGGATAGCGAAGGATACGGGTTCGAGTCCCGTCCGCTGCCTGGTCCGCGTGAATTTTTTTCTAGTAAACTTTTCTTTAGATTTAAACATCTAGCAGTTAAATGCTTAAAAAATAAATAAAATCATAACTATAATTGCTATTTCTTCTTTCAAATGTTTAATACTTGAAAAAGTATTCATTTGACATTGTGGGTTACCTACAATGCGAAGAGATGGCGCTGCCTTGCAGCTTAAGGCTAGGAAAATTTCGACGCGGCTAATAGGGCCGTGGTAGCATAATGGTCAGTGCATTCGCCCGGATAGCGAAGGATGCGGGTTCGAGTCCCGTCCGCTGCCTGGTCCGCGTGAATTTTTTTCTAGCAAACTTTTCTTTAGATTTAAACATCTAGCAGTTAAATGCTTAAAAAATAAATAAAATCATAACAATTTGAAGAAGTTGTAGTTCTGCCTTTCCTTGAATATTCATTGTTACACAGCTTGCATTTAGCTCGTTCAGCATCACAAAGTGTGAAATAAGTCCATGTTTCACTAGAATTCGATTTACTCATGTTAATAAATAACTATTCAAACTCTAACCTCAAAATTCACTTGTTTTGTTTACGGAAAGACCGGTGCGAGCGGAATGATCCTTCAGTCGGATGAGTTCATATCAACTCGGCAATTCGAACGAGACTGCCACCATGCCATAGACAATTGGCGCCAAGTAAAAAAAAAACTAAATATTCGCATTCGCGAATGTCGGTACCAGACATTCGCATTCGCGAATGTTAAAAAATTACATTCGTTACATCACTATTACCTAGCACGCGGCACAAATAAGCACGCCACACGAAACGAAGCATACAGCGACGGGGCTAGCATAAAGCCCAGCCTATCGAATGCGCGCCGATGCAAAAGCACGAATATTTATAGCTGCGTAATCGTATCGTCATCGTCAAATTTTGTATGGAACGAGTCAGTTTGTTCTAAAGTGCGGTAGAAGCGCTGCGTAGTTTTCATAGAAACTTTGCCGAAGCAATACGATTACGGAGCTGCCAAAAGTCGTGCTTCACTCTGACCGTCACTGCGCTCGTCACTAAACCAAATGTCTAGGCTAGACAGTTATAATGCGATTCAAATAAAAATAGGAAAGCCAAAGACCTCTATCTGTCAAATGTCGCTTGAAAAGTACGGTTTGCAAAAAAAACTTGGAACCCTTTTTTAGCACTCCGCTAATTCAAGAATAAAAACCAAACATTTGTAAACAAACAATAACAAATATTGATAATTAATATCAGTTAATGTTTTTTGAAGTTATACTTCTTTAGGCGCGTTATGAAAAAATTATGAGAGTGAAATTTTAAGATGCGCGCGCATCACTGTAACACAAAAAATTAACAGCATGAAGTTGGTCGCTTTAGCGACCAACTTCATGCTGTTACTTTTGTGTTTACCGCACATTAAGAAAATCTACCAAAAAAATAGAAATAGAATCTCTATTTTGTGGGTGCTAACGACTGCATTGTGAAGGCCTATCAAAAGTATTTATTAATCTGAAACAACGGAACCAAAGCGCGATTCAGAAGACTACAGCGCCATCTCTTGACCTTTGGTGTAGTAGAACCAAAAATCATTTCTTTATTTTTTGTAATAAAGTAACAAAACGTATTTATTAATCTGGAATAACGGAACCAAAGCGCGATTCAGGAGACTACAGCGCCATCTCTTGACCATTGGTGTAGTAGAACCAAAAAACACATCTTTATTTTTTGTAATAAAGTAACAGTTATAGGTATTCATATTTATAATATTTATCTACAAGTTTCTAGTTTGTATATTCGGAATACGTGTTTGAGTTTCATACAAGTGAAAATCACATATGTTCTAATAAATTATATTCAGTAGCGATTTTAATTGAATATTTTGATTATTTATTCATTTTTTCAAATTAAAACTGAACTTTATTGACTGTGTCCTTTTCCAGACTTTTTATTAATTTATTGTAATTAATTATTTGCATGCAATTAAAAACTAATTTTAAACGATGCCAAAGAAGGATAACTTCTCACGCGCCTACATAAGTACACGCACCCATTTTCTTTTTTCACTTATTGAGCTTTGGCCATGAATGGTTGATAACCTAAATCGTCAACCAAATGTCACTAAGTTGCGTTCAGAAACTCGATTTCAAACTTTCGTTTACATAAAGGATGCATGTTCGTATGTAAGCTAGTATTAGTGCATGATTATTCATAACTACTCCGGCGGTAATGCATGCGCTAAATTCTGATTAATGTTTTTTCTCACAGTCTTAATAAATAAATATTATTAAAAATCGGTGGGTTTTTTTTCTCAATCTTAGTAAATAAATGTTATTATAAAATCTGATGCTTTTTCTCAATTAATCTTAGTAAATAAGTTTCATTAAATAAAAACTTTTTTTTGCTCACTCTACCTATTTGATTTGAATTGATAGCTATGACATCACAATATGGCGCCCAGTCGGTCCTATTCTTAGTTGAATCGCATTATACGGCTTTTCTCATCCGCTCGCTCTCTCGACAGGGTCACCATCATCCGGCTTTAGACCTTATTATTTATTTTGTTATCGATCTTACCCAGTCAGATATTTATGTCTGACCTTTCCGGTTTCTGCTAGGCCATTTCGTGTATGTGTTGCGCGCAGATCCTGCAGGGCGAGGTTCTAGGAATAGAACACAATGTCCGACTTTTAAGGGGGATTATTATTTATGGGCCTGACAACCCTCTACTCGATTAATACTGTTTGTCCATCTATTGGAGGAGAGGTACTAACGATGCATATCCCAAAGCGACATCGCCTTAGAAGCATCTTAGGACCCGGCAGCTTAGTTCTTTCTTTTACGGTTTTCCTCATTTCTGACTGTAATCCGATTCTAAGCCTTCTTTTGTTAAACCAGCCTACAATAACAACGGTTCGATAAGGTCTCGCCTAGGTCGTACTTTAAATCATTCAATCCAATCATTTATAGTGTAACTATGATATAATATTAATTTACAGGTTGACGACCTCCTTATCCGAGTGGTTTGTACGCCGGGTTTTATGGTGTCGCCGTCTCGAGAGGTCCCGGGTTCGAATCCCGGTGGGGGCAGATTTTTGTGTGATGAATACGAGCATTTGTACTTGCATGGATGTTTAAATATGTACTTCTATATAAATATACTTATATATGTACAGTATATGTATTCAATCCGTTAACCTAGTATCGCATAACACAAGCCTTACAGTGCTTACTTTGGGGCTGTTCTAATTGGTGTGAATGTTGGAAATATTTATTTATTTAAAATCCTATGGTAGAAATTAGCGCGACAACCGGAAGGAAATAATTCCTACGCGTTACATAATCAAATACCTACGCTTTATATTTATAGAAGTTTTTATTACCTTTGCTACGAAACCAACGCAGCGTGATGTCACCATCTATTCCATCAACGATGTATATTAAGCTAGCAGACCATGGTCACAACGCGCACATCTAACCTACTGGGCATTTAGTTGCTAATTAGTTACACTATTCCCGATTTAGTTGCTCAACACCTGTAAAAGATGCAAGCGATCTGCTAGATTAAGTCTTAACCTAGCAGACCACAATACTGTATCTTCGGTTCTCGTAAAGATATCGAAGTTCTGCAAACGGCATATTTAGTTGCTAATTAGTTGCTGTAGGACAGCATTATTTGTATTATCCCACCCATCATCCCCTAATTGCCGCACCAGCACCCACACTACCCCCAAAATTCGAAAAAATTAAAAAGAGCTCATCAGAGAATATAAACTACGGCGTATTAGATACCCAGTAGGTTAGATGTGCGCGTTGCGACCATGGTCTTAGCTTAATATACGTCCATCAACGGGCGTGTACAGTTACAAACTTATCGTATAATTTGGCTTCACAACTAAATCGGTTTTTATTCTTCTGTACCGTATCTAATAGATAATAAAGTAACAGACAGAATTGCTAAATACAACTCCTATATCGTTGCCTGGTTAGCATGGGCGGCAACCTTTTGAAGAATCATTCTGTCAAAAGGAGCGGAGGCGGACGCAGATTTTTTAATCTCTTACGTCTCAGCAAAGTAATATGCAAATCAGACAAAAAATTTGCCCTTGATCAGGTTATTGATCTGCTATATGTAACATGTATCTTTATGAGTTGGTGCTATATTATTTAACATAGACAATGTTGTAGTAGAATGCAGTTTAGCGAAAAACTCATTGCATTAAAGGAATTTTAAAGTAACCCGTTTTATGCATCTTGCGTAATAAAAACAATACCTACTTAATAAAACCTACCCTACTGTGCAATAATATAGTCAGGCCTTGTTTGTAGCAAGATATGTTTGCTGCTATCTTGATGCTGATATCTCCCGATCTATTGGCCGCAGAAAACAGCGGATTGAACAGTAAACATCCTTGGACCCTCCGCCAGGCCGTAGTGGAACCCAATTCCACGTTCGAGCGGTAAGATTCCCCCCCCCCCCCATTTTACCAGCCCGCCCGGAAGATCTCGCCGGGAGATATACGGGTTTACCCTCTTCCACCCCCTTCAACCCCCAAAACCACCTTGGGAATATCGCCATAGCTACCGGTCGTACGGAAACGTGACGGGTGTCTGGTGAAAGGTCTCGGCGAAAAAATAAAACAGAATCACATATCCCAACAAGCGGACCCACTATACTTACAGCAATAGATCATCATCAGCCTATTAATGTCCCCACTGCAGGGGCACCTTCCCTGTGGATGGTATAGGGAGACAGGGCAGTGACCCACCACGCGGGCCCAGAGCGGATTGGTGGTTTCTAACGACTGCAGATACAGCCGGGACCAACGGCTTAACGTGCCTTCCGAAGCACGGAGGAGCTCGGGATAATAAGTTTTTGGTCACCCATCCAATGACCGACCAGTGCGAAAGTAGCTTTCACGATCACAGGCCGAATGCGCTAACTACCTGCGCCATCGAGCTCCTCGGCAAGAGATACAAATCGCTTAACTATGTCCAGGCTCAAGCGGAGGAGGGTTTCATCACCACCTGCCAGCAGCTGCGCGGTTACGGGCAGGAGATGTTCGGCGCGCGCGACCAGCGGGACGGAGGCGAGGTCACTATCGCCATCTCGCTCACGGGCATACGCATCCTGCCGGAGAACACTGACACCACGCACTTTTACAGGTACCCACTTTAGACTAGCAGTTGCAAAAGATATTCAAATATCCAAAACCGCTTTACTGCCGCTTCTTACAGCTATCTCTGTGATTGGACACCACTAGGGGAATCGCTGCGCCTTTGTTTAAAAAAGCATATGGAAACACTAGACAGATCTCAATAGAAATAGTTTGTGTAAAAAACTGGTAAAGACAGCCGAACTTTAACTCTCCTCCTAAATTAATGGAGGAACGAAACTAACAATTACAATACAATACAATACAATACAAAAACTCTTTATTAAACACCACGAAAAACATTGAACATTCTGCACAAAAACATTTAGTACAGGTGATGCAATAGGCGGCCTTATCGCTTAAAGCGATCTCTTCCAGGCAACCTTTGGATGGAGAGGATTAGAAGGAAGTGGGAGAGACGGCGGTGTAAATCGCTAGTATAATATAATCTATTAGTAAATACATATCATACACATATACATATATAAGATATATATACATACATAAATACATACATAGATACAATAACTATAAATACATACATTGATCTAGTCCAGTTTTTAGAACATGAGATATTAAAAATAAAAGTATTACAACGTCAGATAGTGGGACTTCACAAGGTTTTTAAACGCATTAATAGTTTCCGCACGTCTTATCGAAACCGGAAGAGAATTCCATAGATGTACGGCTTGCACTGCAAACGAACGGTGGAAAAAAGTTGTGCCGTGTACGGGAGTCATAAGAGCAAGATTTTCTGATGACCTTAAAGATAACGTATTAGAATTATGAAGGAAATTAAAACTTTCCTTTAGATAGCGCGGGGACTTGGGATTGAACAATATGTTGTAAAGAAGAGAAAGGATATGAGTATTCCGGCGAAGGCGAATAGGTAGCCACTTGAGCTGTGAACGAAATTGAGAAACATGATCATATTTGCGCAAGCCAAATATGAAGCGGATACAAAAATTTTGAAGTCGCTCAAGTTTATTAAGCTGGTCCTCCGTGAGATCGAGATAGCAGACGTCAGCATAATCAAGTATAGGAAGCAATAAAGATTGTGCTAAGGCAATTTTGGTGGTGACGGGTAGAAAATTACGTAGTCTCCTAACTGACGCTGCTGAAGCATACAATTTGCAACTGACCACTTGCATTTGCGGGCCCCAGCTCATACAGTTGTCAAACGTTAATCCTAAGTTTTTTACTGACGTACTAAAAGGGATAACATTTCCAGCAATTTCGATGTTGGGTAGTGACTGCCAGTCCACTCTATCTAACATTCTAGAACTACCAATTACTATGCTAGTTGTCTTGGAGGGATTTATTTCCAACCCAAAAGATTTGCTCCACTTAGAAATCACATGTAGATCACTGTTTGTACACCGCACTGCTTCATCAAGTTGACCAAGAGGAGCTTGGCAATAGATTTGTAAGTCATCTGCATATAGGTGGTAGGAAGAAGAAATATTGTTTGAAACGGAGTTAATTAATACAGCGAAAAGAAGAGGAGATAAGACGCCGCCTTGGGGAACGCCAGCAGTCGTTTCGCTCCATGAAGAAAATTTCTCCTCGAGGCGAACGCGCTGCTTGCGCCCATGCAGATAACTGCGAAACCACTCAATCACTGATGGAGATACGTTAATTGAGCGCAGCAATGCTAAAAGAACCTCAAAGTCGACAGTGTTAAAAGCATTGCTAAAGTCTAACAATGTTAATACCGTAAGGAGACCGTTATCCATCCCAAAGCGTATATCATCGGTTACTTTAAGTAACGCAGTCGTTGTACTATGGCCAGGACGGAAACCGGATTGGAAAGGATTAAAAAGATCGTGGCGAGTGAGGAATGTATTCAACTGGTTATGGATAAGACGTTCAAGAACCTTAGATAGAAAGGGAAGGATAGAAATGGGACGAAAATCGACCATGGTTTGAGGGTTCGATCTTTTAGGAAGAGGAATAATTTGGGCTTGTTTCCAAACTGACGGGAAGACTCCGTTGTAAATCGAGCTGTTAAAAAGGAAGGTAAGGATAGGAAGAATAATATCCAGGATAGGTATCAACATGTTTCGACTGATGCCGTCATTCCCCACCGCATTGGAAGAGATAGAAAGCATGCTATTCTTAACGTCACATTCAGTGAATTGAGTAAAGACAAAAGGAGAGTAGTCAGGAATTGGTAACGAAGAAAGGTAGTTTAAAGTGCAAGACTTCTGAGAGTCACTGAGACTAGAAGAGGAAGAGAATTGAATGTTGAGAGAATCTACGCTGATGCTACTAGGAGTAGAATCGTGTCGGGACTTACCAATTCCAAGTGATTTGAGAAAATTCCAGACTTTTGCTGGATCTTTATTATCGACAGAATCATGAATATGGCGACGCAAGGCATCCCTACACACCAAATTGCAGCGATTTCGAGCTTTTACATAGTTGACTTTATTATAATCGGTCGGGCGATGTTTATATTTGCTTTTAGCAACGTCTTTTTTATGCATTAGGGCCCTGATCTCTTGAGTAAGCCACGGCGCTGGAACGTGTTTGAGCTTGATGGGACGAAAAGGAGCATGCTTGTTATAAAGCTCGGTAATTATATTATTAAAGTTCTCAACTTGTTCGTCGACGGTCACCGCCCCAATTACCAACGACCAATCCGTATTTTGAGCGTCATCAAGAAACGCGTCCCTATCCATACCACCAAAATTACGCTGAAGAATGACTTTGGGCTTAACTTTGGGAGGACGAATTTTGTAGGACAAGAAGATTAAGTCATGGTATGAAAAAGCATCAGCCGAACATTGACCATGCTTCATAACAAGATGAGGAGCAGAGACGATTATTAAGTCAAGAAGTGAAGGAGAAGTGTTTGGAAAATGATGAGTGGCACTAAGGGGAAGAATATGCAGATTACAAGATCTTACAACAGATTGAAGGGAGGTTGCACGAGAATCATTTTTTAGAAGGCAGGTATTGAAATCTCCCATTATCAATGAGTGGGTATAAGATGGTACATAATCTCCCAAGAGCTGTTCAAAAGAACTAAAGAAGTTAACATTTAAAGAGGGGCTGTAATAGACTCCGAGTAGGACTTTGGTATGTGATAGCAGAATCTCGATAAACAAATGCTCGCCAGCATTAACTGGAGGAGGCTGTGTAGAAGTGCTAATAATAGTGAATGGAATTTGAGAACGTAAATAAATTGCAACTCCACCACCTCGAGAGCCAATGCGATCATTACGTATCATACGGAAACCAGGCAAGACATAGGAAGAAGAGGACAGAGAAGGTTTAAGCCAGGATTCGGAGACTAAAACAGCATGAAGATTTTTGTGATTGAGAGACGCCAGCATATCATTGTAGTGAGCCGGAATACTTTGCGCATTTATGTGAACGACGTTAAAGTTTTTAGGAACATCAGAAAATGTACTATCGAGGCAGTCAGGGAGAGAAGGCAAACTTACAAAACTATCATCTGTGCAGTCGCTTACTGATGGCAAGGAATGAAAGGAGTTATCACTATCCATCCCTGAACAAGACATAGATCAATTAAATATAATATAATAATATAAAATAAATACGTTTAAATACTAAAAAAAAAAAAAAAAAAAAATGGGATAAATAAGCACAAATGAAAATTATGCTCCACCTGCCGGCTGAGTGGAAGGCAGAAAAACCTAAATATGATGTAAAAGCCATTGCTCCATTGAACTCCTTATAATGAAAGTAAATAAAAATAAACTTTAGACAATATTAATAATTGAAAACTCTTTTAAATATCTGTAATTACAACTAATTGTTGTTTACAAAAAGAAGTTAGTAAAAACTTATCAGCATTCAGAGGAAGGAGTGACATTTACATTAAAATCACAAAATGCCAATAGCCAGAAGGAGGGCTCATGCGATCCTCAAACATAATTTCCTAAATTAACTGCTATTCATTTTGGTAGCACGTGTCGCAAATGAATTCTTCTTATAAACAGTGCGAAAGTGCCTGTAAAAGTAACGTCAATTTGTGCGTAGGTATGAGAAAAGACTTTGTGATAAAACCGTGAAGCTTCCAACAGAAAATTGTTTGCCCACAGATGGATGGATATAACAAACGTGATCAACCACAAGCGCACATTCAGCATCGAATGCTGTCGCCAGAACGACTCGGCGTCGTTCTTGCTGCCCAGCCCCGACGACGGGAAGTATGTGTGGCGTATGTGCATCCAGCAGCACACATTCTACATGCGCCACCAGCGGCCTCTGACGGACCAATCGTACCAACACTCCAGGCCCAAGTTCCAGGTAAGAAAGACGACAAGCTTATGGGAACAGTTATACATGTCAGCATTTAGGAAGGAAGTTCGTCTTATTGTCCTACCAGCATTCTAGGCCCAAGTTGCAGGTGAGAGATACTTGAAGACGGCTTGCAATAGAAGCCAATGAATCAACATTTAGGTAGGAACTATGTGTGGTGCATGTGCATCCAGCAACACACATTGTAAATGCGCCACCAGCGGCCTCTGACCTTAGATTAAAACAAAAAGGGTAGATACGGCACTAGCCTCACAAAAGTGATCCGCATGAATTGTGGTCCACGACCCTAATCGCTTTAGTCACAACTTGACATGCAAACGACGTACATGTGAACGCCAAAAAGAAATATTGCTAATATTTTGTGTTTATATGATAAAACAATGCACAAGTGTGTTTTTAAAAAGTGCTCAAATTGCTCAAGAACTAAAAATAAAACCCACGGCATCACTTTTCATTCGTAAGTACTATAAAATATATTTTTTCATAAAAATTGCTGTTTGTTTTGAATCTTATTCTGTAGTGACGTCGAGTACTGGTCACGTGATTGGTCGGTAGTGCAGTGACGCGGATCTCGTCGTCTCGTTCGCGCTGCCGTTGAAACTTAACGTGCTGTTTCGTTCAGGTCGGTAATGCAGTGACGCGGATCTCGCCGTCCCGTTCGCGCTGCCGTGGGATCAGTTTTTGTTTGATGCAAGTATGAGCGCACCGTATCTACTCTTTTTTTTTTAATCTAATCCTCTGACAGACCAATCGTACCAACACTCCACGTCCAAGTGCCAGGCGAGTCAGACATTTCTGTTAGAGACTTATTTGGATTCTCAGCGCTCCCGCACACGGCACGTATTCTAGGAACCTCGGCCCTCAATTCTCGATTGGTGCAAGAGTATTGTCTTAAGTTTTAAGTGGCTAGGGCCCTGCTCATTTCGTTCATCGAGCCCTGAGTTGGACGAAATGAGTGGTAGGAGTCCTCAAATGTCCTCGCTGCAACTACTGGTGGCAAGGAAGACGTCACCCCTTACCCACACAAAAAAAAGTCGAGTTACACTTGAAGACAGATTGCAGTAGGAGTTTAATATTTCAGCATTTAGGTCGGAGATGTCTGTGTGCGTATGTGAATCCAGCAACACACGTTCTACATGCGCAACCAGCGGCCTCTGACAGACCAACCTTACCAACACTCAAGGCCCAAGTTCCAGTTAGGAAATATTAGAAGAGAAACATGTCATCATCATCATCAGCCTAATAATGTCCCCACTGCTGGGGCACAGGCCTTCCCTATGGATGGAATAGGGAGATTGGGCCATGACCCACCACGCGAGCCCAGTGCGGATTGGTGGGTGCTAACGACTGCAGATGCAGCCGGGACCAACGGCTTAACGTGCCTTCCGAAGCACAGAGGAACTCGAGATAGAAGATTTCTGGTCACCCATCCAATGACCGACCACTGCGAAAGTTGCTTAACTTCAACGATCGCAGCCGAACGCGCTATCCACTTGCGCCATCGAGCTCCTCAGGCTTGAGCTTGAGAAACATGTAGTAGCAGTTTAATATGTTAGCATTTAGATAAGAAGTATGTGGACGCCAGTGACATCTCAACGACCAAGGGTTCTAGCTTTTAATAGAGTAGTATACAGCAGAATAACACCTTTTGGTGGTATTGTATTTCTGTGAGTGAGCGAAGTCTCGGGACTCCACAAAGTAAATGATGAATTAGCGTCAGAAAAGCGCGAGTTAAACTTTAGTAACGCGAATCGTAAGCAACTATAGGCTGTTCTGCATCTCGCAAGCAACTATAAATTAATAAATAGAGTGTTGGAAATATTTCCAACACTCACACCAATTAGCCTAGCCTCAAAGTAAGCACTGTAAGGCTTATGTTATGGGAAACTAGGGTAACGGATAGAATACATATACTGTACATATATAAGTATACTGATATAAAAAAAAATGGTTGCCTGTAAAGTCGGTTTTACGGGCGAAGATTTTACGTGACAACGTCTTTTTCTCGGTAGAATATTTATTGATATGAATATAATTAAATTGCACAATAGGAACAAGGAATTGAATGAAAATAAGAATTGCACAAATTTTAACTATAGAAATCTATTTTGTTTACTAAAACATTGTACATGTAAACTTAAACTTAACACGAGAGACTCATCGTAACGTTACCGAGCGTTACACTTTTTCATAAGTGACTCCCAGCCGCAACCTAATTTAAGACGTTGTCACGTCAAAATACATATTAAACATCGTTTTCATCACACAAAAATCTGCCCCCACCGGGATTCGAACCCGGGACCTCTCGAGTCGGCGACACCATGAAACCCGGCGTACAAACCACTCGGTCACGGAGGTCGTCAACTATATAGGATGAAAATACAAAGTTTCATCAAACTAACATTTTGTGCCTGTGGTGTATTTGGCATAACATTTGACTCGGCACAGGTTAGGTAGGCTAAACTTCCAAGTATCTATAGACTTCGATGACCCTTTACAAAAAAGGTGAGCATAATCCTTATTTTTCCGATAAAAAATAAATAATCGTGCAGCGATCCTCATCGACCGTATTGGTGAAAATAGGGAGGGACTGTTGCTACGTTGAGGGGTAGCGGGAACGGATGGCTGTGTGGAGGGCCGGCATTATTGTTTATGTATTGATTGTAATGTATGTGTTAGTCATTAATTAGAATTGTATTCCGTTATATGTATAATTGTGTTCTGTGTTGTGTTATTGTCTCGCTTATTCCGGCATTCGCAAATCACCTTTGCCATAAGGCGCTGACTGAAAATCAGCGCTGCTGTGGTATCGCGAAGGCGGTTACCACAGAGCATAGCTGAGGCAGCGCCCTATTGGCCTTCCACGGCACGATGTTTTTATTTATTTTTTATCTTTTATGCTTAAATCTATGTTCACTATTAAATAACCATTTGTATTGCTAAGTTAATGCCGTGAAGGCTAATAAAATGTTTTTCTTTCTTTCTTTCAGCGATAGAAAACTTAGCACACACATTTTAATGTTACGGAACGATTAAATTGTAGTTATCCACATCGATTCACAAACGTTACGTAAAAGAATCGAATTGGTCGCAACAACAGCGATTAGTATTCAACGGTGGTCACGACTAGGTACCGTACGGCGAGAGGTCCCCGGATCATATACGGACATGCCAATTTGATCGAGCTAAAAATAAACACATTCCGTTCTTTAATATGACCCTTGAGACTAGAATTTTATTTCGGCATTCCTTCGGGAAGTTGTCAATTATTTTATCAGACTCTTTGTTTGGTTCTGCCAACCTCGTAAGTGGTGTGGAATTAATATTCCCATTGCGTTTAGCTATTTCATCTTAGCACTAATTTAGCAACTAAAAAATGAAATCAGAAATCAATATATCTTTATTCAAATTGGATGTATAGTACAACTCTTTTGAATCGTCCAAAAAAATTTTTTTCCCTACCACTCGTTATGGACATATTTTTTAGCTGCGGAGAAAATCGAGCGAAAAATACTCCACAACATTAAAAGTCTAATGTAACAACATTTACAAATCATTATGTTGTTACAACGTCAATACAATTATGATTTATTTAATATAGAATGAGTGGACAAAATTAAAAATGAGGTTTTCTTTCCCGCATATCAATGTCAATTTACCATCTACATATTAATTTTGTAAATCCATGTCCATACTAATATTATTATTGCGAAAGTCTTTTTGTCTGTCTCTGTGTGTTACCTCTTCACGCTTAAACCACTGACCGATGTAGACAAAATTTGGTATATATCTATAGGTGGAGTCCCGGGGAATGATATAAGATAGTTTTTATCCTAGAAATCACCTTTTAAGGGGATGAAAAGGGAAGTTTGTATGAGAAACCAGTATTTCCATGCAAACGAAATCGCTGGCCCCCACTAGTTGTACATTTATATGTTTTTTTTATAAATTTCAATATTCATAAGTGGAAACTTGTGCACATTGCGGGATTCTTCGGAATGCCATTAAAATATTTTCTAACTGAAGAACAGAGGAGCTCAATCTGTTAATCAATTGGTCACCAATCCTATAACCGGTCACTGCGAAATTTGCTTAACATTACCAATCAATACCGAACGCGCTTATCACTCCGTCATAGAGCTCTTTAACTATACCTAACGGGTGGTGAAGCAAAACGTGCCATTAATAATATGTAATTAGATGGGTATGCGGCGATATGAAAGCGCGTTTAGTTTCACATGTTGTGTGACAGTTGGCTTATCATTGTATCGTGTTAATTTTTACTCTGAATAAGTAATTTTATTCGTAAACCAGTGCGGACGCTCTCTCAAGAGAGCGACAAAATTAGTTTTCATCATAATCATCAGCCTATTAATGTCCCCACTGCTCGGGCACAGGCCTTCCCTATGGATGGAATAGGGAGATTGGGCCATGACCCACCACGCGGGCCCAGTGCGGATTGGCCGGTGCTAACGACTGCAGATATAGCCGGGCCCAACGGCTAAACCTGCCTTCCGAAGCACGGAGGAACTCGAGATAAAAGATTTTTGGTCACCCATACAATAACCGACCACTGCGAAAGTTGCTTAACTTCAATGATCGCAGCCGAACGCGCTAACCACCCACGCCATCGAGTTCCTCCAAATTAGTTTTACTTTATGTTAAATAGTTGGCAAACAAGCATGATGGTAAGCGCATAGCTTATAGACTCTTGCGATACCAAAAATGTCATTCCCGCCGTTGCTCCATCCCCTACTCTGTGATACCTTGAGACTTTACTCACCGACAGAAACACAACACCACCAAAAGGTAGTGTTATTTTACTGTGGTCTTCTGTAAGGCGGAGGTATCTTCTCCAGACTATCTATGCCCTACCTTTCTTAAACTTCTTTGAGCGGTAACGAAAGGGATGCAAAACTGCTTAACATCAAGTGGAGTCGAGTCATTTGCCTAACTAGCGGGTTTTCAAAATGAACCGGATGTCGATGCCAAATACCCTACCCCATAAATGGAACCTGGAATTTAACTCATCGACAGAAATCATAACACCACCAAACGGAAGTGTTATTTCATCATCTAGCAGTTTAAGTGTCGCTGCACACGGGTCACCGATCACAACCACAAAACGCCGCCACCGGCATATTTCTTGTAGTTTTCATACATTTTATATGGAATCGCTGTATATTGTGTTGTACGATTCTTGTGTTCTACATACAGTACGCCGGTGGCCGCCACACGCTACAAATCGTCGTTTCTCGCTTCTTGTGGCCCGCACCGGCCACTTAATGCGCCGATACAAAACGCCGCCACACGTCACTCGCGCGATTCCCCACCCTCTCTCCCTTACCTTAGTCGGCCGCTGTCGCGCGCTTTAGCCACTTTAGTAGCCGCTTCTAGCTTCTCGTGGCGGCGTTTGTGGCTGTGGCGTGTGGCCCGTGTGCGGCGACACTAATGCTTTAACGTATATAAATAGATATATAATTAAACTCTTATAATTCCCACACAAGACTTAAAGGAAAATATATAGAATACACCGACCACTCTTTCCCTGCCGATAATAACAAGGTCAGTAGTTAAAATGTTTTGAATACCCAAACAAAACTATTCCCATCCCACCTAACCCAACATTATCAAATGCTTCATCAAATCATAATTGTTTAATCAGAATAATAGGACGTCACAACTATGTATATAGCAACCACAAAATCAATGTTGCGTTACTAATTGAAAAGCGGAAACTGCAGAATACTGAAGTGCAGCCGCACATCGTCGCTTGCGCACGCATTCCTGCATCGCGAAACATATATCGAACATTGTTCACTGTATCTTTGTGGATAGTGTCTCTACTGTTGATATTGCGCTAATTATATATACTTTATATATACTAAACGTTATATATGTTAAAGACATATGTATAAATCAATATTGTAGTGAATGGTAGTGTTTCACAGTTTGTGTGTCGTGCAAATTAGTGGTTACACTTTGTGGAGATGCGTGTTGTCATCTGTTGCTGCTTCATCAGATATGATAACGTATGTACCTCTCTATATTTTCTGCAAATCCTTACCTACAATAATGCAGATCTAAGAAAATGCCGAATGCCTACTGGTTGAAATGTGATTCCCAAAAATCACACCAAAAGTATGTTACATAACGTCTTGCACTCCATGCTCTAAAGCCCTTATTTATACATAGTCGACAAGATCAAAAATGGCTAAATTGACTAAGGCCCGTATTATAGAAAGATTATCAGTAATTAATCTAGTCTTGAGCGTAGTTAGACAGGGATGTCGCTATATATAGCACATAGCGACATGCCTTTCTAACTGTACTCAAGAAAAGATCAACACTTAGTTGTCATTCTGTAATACGGACTTTAGAATAACAAATATGCTTTACTATCAAACCTTAAAGAAGTTTCACAAATAGCTCTATTCTGTAGTTGGCTTTGGGATGTCAGAGCTCCATGGTTAGGAGAAAGGTTTTCATGCAAGTGAAATGAGGACGACTGAAGTGCCATGTATTTTTTTACAAATTGCCTATACCACACGGGTCTCCTAATGGCAAGCGGTCACCGTTACCTAGCCTGCATCGCATAATAAAAATGTAACCCAAGTTTACAATTTTTAACCATTGGTATCTAGCTTTATCTGGCATAACAACCCGCCAAGGAACCCACCATCCCAAACCCGCTAACTTCTCTATAATAGTATTGATTGACGACCTCCGCGGCCGTGTGGTTTCTACGCCGGGTTTTATGGTGTCGCCGACTCGAGGGCTCCCGGGTTCGAATCCCGGTGGGGGCAGATGTTTGTGTGATGAATACGAGCATTTGTACTCCAGTCATAGATGTTTAATATGTATTTCTTTATAAATATACTAATATATGTATCAGTATATGTATTCTTTCTGTTACCCTAGTATCCCATAACACAAGCCTACAGTGCTTACTTCGGGACTAGGCTAATTGGTGTGAGTTTTGAAAATATTTATTATTATTATAGTTGAGCAGCCCAATCGAGAATTTGAGCTGCGTTAAGCGGAAACACGGAGCGGTCACCGATTGGGCTCCTCTACTATAATAATAATAAATATTTTAAAAACTCACACCAATTAGCCTAGTCCCAAAGTAAGCACTGTAGGCTTCGCAATCTTGCATCTTGTAGAACGTCATGGCCATTTGTTGAATCTTTTTCTTGCTGTCTAGACTTTCGACCCCATATAATGTGCTTGTGAAGTTCTCATACCATATATGAGAACTTCACAAGGTGCAAGGTTGCCCTCTCATATTATTCTGCCGAGCTCAAGTAAATACCAAAATCTCCGCTCAGACTCCTGTACTATAATAAGTCATCTACGAATACGACCAACAGCGAACACATTTCGAATTATACTATTCATTGCCACAATTTGTCAAAACAATATTCCATTTATATACTTGCCGGATTATAGTGAAACGTGCCATAGGCTGGTGACCCACGTGGGTTAGAGCGATAAGAAAGTCTTACGGCGTGTGTGTTCCAACATGAATGACTACATTATGTCATTATGTGAAAGCCATGATATCATTGTTTACTATAATACCTCCTTTGTCGATATAATCTATGATCGATCAAAGTGCGGACAGTCAAGGACAATTACGCTACGAATATAGTTCTTATTTCATTGTAATAAAAGCACTGTCACCCTAGGAACGTACTCAACGATGTGTTCTCACCTGTATGTGAACTTTCCTAATATCTAGATCATATGGAATTATTTATGTAATTATTTTATTATTATTTTTGTTTTAAAATTGTCAGACATTTTTAAAGTTTGTGTGTTTTAATTTCAACAAAAAGTTTTACATTGCGTGTTTAGATGGACTAGGAATTTTCAATTTACTGTAATCGACGCAATATCTTCATTTTGTTATATTTTTTGAAGTTATACTTCTTTAGGCGCGTTATGAAAAAATGATGAGAGTGAAATTTTTAGATGCGCGCGCATCACTGTAACCCAAAAGTAACAGCATGAAGTTGGCCGCGGGCGCGTTATGAAAAAATCATGTGAGTGAAATTTCGAGATGCGCGCGCATCACTGTAACACAATAGTAACACCATGAAGTTGGCCGCGGGCGCGTTATGAATGTTAGTATCTAATAATGGTCATGGCCATCTGTTCGAAAGGTACTTTGAACGATTCACGGAGCTCCATAAGATGATCGCGTTGTCAAAAACAATGTTGGTACGCTCGTCGCCTCTGATCACTGTTTTCATATTTATAATATTTATCCACATGTTTCTATATAGACACAACGTGTTTTAGTTACTTACAAGTGCTAATTACATATGGACTAATAACTTAAATTCAGTAGTGATTTTAATTGAATATTTATTTAATATTTCAAATTAAAACTGAACTTAATTGACTGTGTTAACTATCCTTTTCCAGTCCTTTTATTATTTTATTGTAATTATTAATTATTTGCATGCAATTAAAAAATATTTTTAATGATGCTAAAGAAGTATAACTTCTCACGCGCGTACATAAGTTACACGCATCCATTTTTTTTATATGGTAAGTTTTCGATAATCTGATTTGTTTTATCTTAATCGGATTCACAAAAGGACGGATTCCCATTTCGACGGAAAACCTATTTGCACCAGTTTGAAAATACCAAATTGCTTTATTGAAGAACACGGCCTGTCCCGCTAGTCGTAAATATTTCAATCAATCCACTCTCTGTCCAGGAGCACGGCCTATCAGAGAGTCGCGAGGAGCTGGACTCCCGCGAAGGTCGGGATGCCGGCAGCACCACCAGACTGCAGCCCCTGACCCCGGCTCACCGCGCCCACTCCACCTCCTGCCTGGAGCTGAGCGACCAGCAGCCTCACAACAACAGGTGAGTTCTAACACCCGCCTTATGATGTCCCTAGACTAGCGTGTCAGCGTTTAGTCACATTTTTATCTAACCTTACCTGAACATTAATTATAACATTATAATGCGATTCAACTAAGAATAGGACCGACTGGGTGCCATATTGTGATGTCATAGCTGTCAATTCAAACCAAATAGGTAGAGTGAGCAAAAAAAGTTATTATTAAATAAAACTTATTTACATAGATTAAGTGAGAAAAAGCATCAGATTTTATTAATAACATTTATTTACTAAGATTGAGAAAAAGAAAATCACCGATTTTTAATAATATTTATTTATTAAGACTGTGAGAAAAAACATTATTCAGAATCTAGTTCTTCTATTCCGCTCATCTCTGCATTACCGCCGGAGTAGTTATGAATAATCATGCGCTATTACTAGGTCACATACGATCATGCATCCTTTATGTAAACGAAAGTTTAGAATCAAGTTTCTGAACGCAACTTAAACTGACATTTGGTTGACGATTTAGGTTACCAACCAATCATGGCCAAAGCTTAATAACTGAAAAATAAATATCAACTGATATTAATTATCAATATTTATTATTGTTTGTTTACAAATGTTTGGTTTTTATTCTTGAATTAGCGGAGTGCTAAAAAACGGTTCCAAGATTTTTTTTTGCAAACGGTACTTTTTAAGCGACATTTGACAGATAGAGGTCATTGGCTTTCCTATTCTTATTTGCATCGCATTATATTTTCTTTTATTATAATAATTTTTAAAACACTATTGTCCACAGAGCGTTACTACCTCAATACAGACCCGCGCCAGACTACGAGACGGCCATACAACAGAAATACCAACAGCAACGAGCCGAGGCTCAACTGCGTTACCAGAGCCATTCCCCCGCAAAACCCGCGTACGGCTCCCAACCCGACATACACCGCCATTACGACGACTACTACGCCCTTAACTACCTCAACTACCCCTTCGCGGTCAACCCCAACGTCCAGCCCGAGATCACCCCCCAAATGCACTACGTCAACGTCTACAAACCCCCACCCCCCTACCCTTCCAACGGCCTAGCTTCGAATTCAACCCCAGACCTGGCCGTCGCAAGCCAAGCCTTAAATTACCACCGAGGTTACATAAACTCCCACGTCTCCGGGTCCAGTCCTGATCTAGTCTCGACTCGAACAGCTCTGAACAGACAATACTTAGGCCTCCTAACAGGCAGTCACAACGTCATCAACTACGCCAGACCTAACGTGATGCCCACCCATGGCACTTACAACAACTTGGCCTCAGTTCTGGAACCAAACCCGCATATAATCATAGACCCGCACCACATATCCGATAACATACAGAAGGTTTACGACGAAAGAGGGAATATCATGTACTCGATGCCCATACATAGGCCTTACCAACGACACATAGTGCTGCCGCAGACTCAACAGATCAAATTGAACGATACTCAAGAGCCGATTTACGAGAACGTCCCTTTACCGTGGCACAGCGATAAGGTCACGATGAGAGATCGGGCTCAAAGCCTCACCACGACGGACGAAATCGCGAGGCTCAACGAAAGAAACAGCAGCCATCCGAACATAAACAGATACGGGAATCTCAAACAAACCTCGCACGTTCCGAACTACCTGATAACGAAACAGGATAACCCCGATGGCCACTACGTTAACGCGCAAATAATCAAAGGCGTGAGAGAATCCAGTGTGCCAAAAGACGATCGATCGTCTAACCGATCGACGGAGAAGCCGGAGTTCGAAAACATAGCTCTCCCTGTCGAGAAACTATCGTTGAAGGACGACGAAACCCCGTACCAGAGTCTGTCGACTAGGGTGTCGAATAACAACACGATAAGCAAGGAGAACGTTACGTCGATAACGATAGATCAGTCGACCGCGAGCCACGGCGTCAGCATGTCCGATAGTTCGACGATCAACGTCACAGATGATTCTAAGAATAATGTGAGCGGGAAGGAGAAGAAGAGGAGAAGATGGGGGGTGTTCATGGGGAGGGGGGTGAAGGCGGAAGTGAGGAGCGCTACGTTAGGCCGAGACAGGGCCAAACCTGCCCCTCAGCCGACCAATAAACACAGGTGGTCTACTGGCTTACCGAAGTTCCAACCGCTACCACCGAGCATTACCAAAGAAACATTGGTGAGTTGAATTTTACTTTCATATCTTTGCAGGCCGGCCTTCCCTATTGAAGGAATAGGGAGAATGGCCATGACCCACCCAGCGGATCTAGTGCCTTTTAGTGCTAACGATTGCAAATAGTAAATAAATAAATATCTCCAACACTCACACTAATTAGATTAGCCCCAAAGTAAGCACTGTAGGCTTGTGTTATCGGATATCAGTGTAGCGGATAGAATACATATACTGATACATATATTAGTATATTTGAATAGAAATACGTATTAAACATCCATGACTGGAGTACAAATTCTCGAATTCATCACACAAACATCTGCCCCCACCGGGATTTGAACCCGGGACCTCTCGAGTCGGCGACACCATGAAACCCGGCGTACCAACCACTCGGCCACGGAGCTCGGAGGAGATCCAGCCGGGATCAACGGCTTTATGTGCCTTTAGAAGTACGGGTAGTCGAGATAAGGTTTTTTACTCCTATCTTATTACCAGTCATTGCGGAAGTTGCTTAACTTCCTCTATCGAATTTATGCCGTAAAAATACCGAGTAATAGAAATGTTTGTTACAATTTCTATCACATTTTTGTTTCATTTAATTAATAAAATCCTATAAATTTTTAGTCATCAATATTTTTTTAATAGAAACTTCTGAGATTAATATGAAAATGAATAACTATTATTAAACTAATACAATGCCTTAAAAAATTTTGAAATAAAGTGCTATCATCTGAATTGATGAAAAATCTAAATAATTCTGTGACTAATTATGTCAACACATTGCCCATAAAACATAAATCGGTCTTTTATCTAATGCTAAAAACCATCTGGCTTCATAACAAGTTGAGAGTAATCGTTAACAAACAAACATTTTGAAAAACATCGATTATTAAAATATTTATTCTCGCTTAAAAAAGTCCATCTTATTACCTACAACCCTGTCTATTGACAAGTTCTAACGTCTGTACCACGGCGAGTGTTCTGAGGAGTTATTCTCTCTTATCCCACCTTCCCCTTTCCTTCAGAGGACTCGTGGCGCTGGCCTACGTTGTCACCGTCTAACTGTGGTCACAATTCCAACGCGTACAAAGAAATTTGGTGACTCATTTTTTCGTCGCACTATCCGTAAATGGAATGCTCTGCCCGCTCACGTGTTCCCTCCCTCTTACAACCTGCGATCCTTTAATAGAGGCGTGAAGAAGCAACATGCAGGCCGGCAGGGTGAGGATAGCTGGTGTGGCAGGTAGAAGTGCTGTATCAGCTTTCTTCGCATTTGGTCTTCACCCTCACTTAACATGAGGAGGGGGGAGTCATTTGCCGGATGTCGAATATATTGTGGTATGTTGGGTGATGGCGGCAGGTTATAATAAATACAAACACGTAGATAGGTTGGTGTCCATTTATTGAAGAAGGCTTAATGGTACTAAACATACTTATTTATAATATTAGTGCACTACGTAGTTACACACACACACACTTATAAAATATAACACACGATATTATTACAAAACATCAGCAATTCACGTGGCCTACTTTCGTGTCATTCAATGTTGCGTTGTATTATAAATACATATTTATTAAATTATTTTCATACTATCACAATATTAATAAAATTGGTCCAGTAAATAGCTCATCTCACAACAAACCGTCGGCTTACATAATGTCAGTGACACTATGTCTACTTACTTATTGCTTTTAAACCACTGCCCAGAAAATACTTTGTCAAATCAAATATTTGCTAATGAATTCGGCTATCCATAGAAATTCCAACTGCGTGTTGATTGCAGTTTTTTCGCCCCGTCCACTCAATCGCAGTATGCGTGGAACCTTTCGAAGTGAAACTTTTTTACGCACGCGTGACTTGGGAGGGAAGCTGGCGAATGCGTTACGCGTTACGAAAAGTTCGTTCGGGCGAGGCCAACGGGAGTTAAGTGGGGGATATAAGCTACAGGAAGCAGTGCGCGCGCACATTTTCTTTCTCTTTATAGTTAGTAAACGAAATATGTATATGTACATACATGTGTATATTGTGCACAATACAAATAAAGCTTGATGGGCGTTGGAGTACATCATATAAGGAGTCTTCTCTAATTTTCTTAATATATTTGCATGAAGTTTCAACTTTTTATAAAAACATTTTTAATGTTCCTCGAACTAGTGACGTGTCTTAAAATGATTGTCATTTTTATTAATCATTAAAAATATCTGTTTTTATAAAAAGTTAAAACTTCATGCAAATATTTTAAGAAAATTAGAGAAGACTCCTCATATGTCGTACTTCAACGCCCTTTAAGCTTTATTTGTTTTTTGTAACACCCTGTATATATATGTATATGCACATACTAATGGAGCTAAAGAAATTTCACTTCAGTCGTATGGTCATAAGCGCATTGTTTTTTTTCATAATTTATATATTTTTTTCTGTATTATAGTGCCAATTATTAGAAAGGAAGATGTCCGACGACCAGATCTCGTTCGCTTTCGAACGGTTGCCCAAGGGCAGGGAGAGGGGGGGCTCCGTGCAGACGGGCCTGTTGCCCCAACACGCGGCCCTCAACGGGTACTCCGGGGACAGCCTGCCCTACGACGACAACCGGGTCAGGCTCAAACCGACGCCCCACAACCCGCACGGGTATATCAACGCGTCACATGTTACGGTAAATATACTTCCTGTTATTACCTATTCGAAATTACGCTGTTTGTATACAGGGCGTCCCGCGGGTCTGTCACACGGAGGGCGAGTATTTAATATCGTCATCATCATCAGCCTATTAATGTCCCCATTGCTGGGGCTATGACACACCATGCGGGTCCAGTGCGGATTGGCGGGTGATAACAAATGCAGATGCAGCCGAGTCCGATGGCTTAACGCGCCCTCCGAAGCATGGAAGAACTCGAGATAGAAGATTCTTGGTCACCCGTCCAATGACCGACCACTGCGACAGTTGCTTTATTTCAACGATCGCGGCCGAATGCACTAACCATTGAGTTCCTCGTTGTATTTAATATACTATGTGAAAATAATAATAAAACGATACCTATACAAACCATGAACCTTTTCTTTCTTATTGTACTGTGAGGTCAATTATTAAAAAAAGGCAAATTTCGTGATTTTTCTTTTATTTAAAATGCTATGTTATTTAGAAAAAATAATCCTCTTGAAAAACCCTTTCGACGGTTATCATAAAATGTTTTTTTGTTTCTCACTTCACGAGCATAATGATTTTGGCTGGGGATTTTTTTAAAAACTACTAAAGCAGTTCTAGTTATTATTAAAAATAAAATGACGTCCTCTTTCAGTAAAATATCCTATCTTCAATATTTTATATACTTTCCGTCCGTGTGACAAACCCGTAGAACACCCTGTTTACTTCCGAACACAACTATCGGCCCACTTAGTGTTGTAAGATTCAATGGTCTGTAGCAAAAATATTTTAAGATTGAACAATAATTTTTAAAATACACGAGAAAATGGTCAAGAAATCAGCTTCAAAATTTAAAGTCGAACTCACTCACAAGGGAATAAAGGCCGAAACAGACTTTTCAAATGAGATACCACGCGACTCGCGTTGAAACCGATCGAATGTAGTATTTTCTATGATCAGTACCCTTAGCACGAACGATTATCGAATTCGGATATGCGAGCGCGAAATGTCAATGTCAAATTTTGTATGAAAACTTGAACAACAGCGCCACAAGTACGTAACGAGAACTAAAAATTAGTACACATTTGACAATGACATTTCGGACTCGCAAACGTTACGAATTCGATATTGGTTCATGCTAGGGGTACAGAATAACATTGGGAACATCCGACGCGACGCGATGCGAACACAGCTACTGATCATAGAAAATACGCGTCGCGTGACGTCGCGTTTCAAAAGTCTGTTCCTGCCATAATCCTAGAAATAATAAAAGCGAATATTAACCGAGGTTCCTAAAATTTCTTTATGGCTTATTTCAATTAAAGCAACTTATAATTGAGTTTTTCGTCAAAACTATTAGGTAATTTAAATTTAAAGTTATTTAACTCTGCGATGTCTGATTGTCAACGTTTATGTGGGGAAATATAGAATACGGAATTTGACAGTATTAAAAATAAAGTACGAATTGTTATCATCAGTGTTTAAAAAGAATATTGGCAGGGGTTTTTACTATTTTTATAAAAAAAATATTCATAATTTTACTAAAAACGCACGAAAAAGATAATAGTTTTCTTATCTATTGTCACGTGACCCAAAACGCTTGGGATTGGCGGAGCCTAAAATGACATCACACGCAAGTAAACTTCCGGTTAAAGTGACATTACATTGTATCGTTCGACGTTTTAATAACAGTCGTGTGATGTCACACACTAGTAAGACGCCATATTGTCCAGAAAAACGTTTTCGCGGCAACTTGAAAATGGAGTTTTTGATTTGGTTATTTTTAATGAAATATACAACAGAATGATGAATGTCCTCCATAAACATTAGTCAATAACGTGAGATCGTTTTCTAAAACTTGTCAAATACCTTATTTGAATAAGTATACTTACGGCTATGGTATTATGAAATATACCTTATATTTTTATGACACACGTAATGTAACATAATTTGATAAATCTCACTATGCCTGCTCATCGTGTTAGCGTGCAAACTACTATTTTGCTAATTAACAGACTTGTTCATTTTAATATTTACAATAAAAACAAATCATTAATAATATAATTGTTATACAGCAGCTCGCAACGGTTGTACGTAGTAATAAAGGTTGGGGCGGGACGGGGGACTCCCGAATATCAGGGGTTAACATTGTGCTAGTTGGCGGGGTAGGGGGTACTTGTTGAATTATATATTATTAACATTTTATATTATCTTAGATATAAATTGTTATATAATTATTATTTACTATTGCGTATTGTCTTGGGGTATAAATTCGTAGAAAATTAGGGAGAAATAAATTCACTTGTTTATTTATTCGAAATTATGTCTGTCTATCTTTTTTTATTATCAAGTTGTTTTTGTTTTTTTACCATATTGTATGTTTTTATTCAGGCGTTGAGAAACTGCACTTTTTCTTGTATAGGTATCGTTCTTAACAATATTTTGTTGATTTTTTTTTGAAGTGGAAACTTCTTTAGCAGCGTTGTAAACTCGCGTCAGGTTAAACACGTGGGCTGACCGCGTCATGACACGCGTTGTTGACTTTCAATATATTGGACGAAACATAGTAATATTTTATTTTACCGTATTACAATAATAAGTCTCTATCTAGGACGTCCACGTGGCAGCTTTATTGTGAAGAAAATGCTTTTTTACAATAGATGTCGCTAGTAGGTGCGCTTAAATGTGATTTATGTAAGTTGATTTCTTTACAATAAATGTCGCTAAGTGCGCTCAAACGTGATTCATGTAAGTTGATTTTTCTGAGAGATAAACTTTTTTAATGAAATATAAATTGTCATGTTTGTGTAAGATAGCGCAATAAATAAATATTGTATTCTACCACATACATGATAGTACTTTTATATTGATAATTAAAGTAATTCATGCAAAATTATTCCCTAACCATTCTAAAATATCAAAAATGCACAACGTTAATGTTCAAGTTTTCCTGCTGCCGGCACTACCGGAGTGCAATCCGTCGTTTTTTTTTTGAAAAGGTAGGTTGATATAGAATTATATTTTTCTACGTACAGTCCGTTCATCATAACTTGTCCTTTTGGGTGAACAATCTTGGCACAATTTTTAACAAAATCACACATTTAAAAATAAAATAATAACAAAGTCAATAATGTATTCCAATAAATCGTTTTTATAGACTGAAAGATATTGAATCTAGTTATCAAGTGATTTTCAAGACTGCATTTTCAATAAAAAGGAGTGCCAAAATTCTTTACCAGGGGGCCATTCGCCTAACGGAAATGCTATGGAAAACGCTAACGCTTTCGATTTTATTTTGTTATTTCTGACCGCCGAAGGTTTCCAAATACCTCACGCTCATTTTTTTTAATATTTTTATGACCAATGCAAAAGAAAAAAAAAGAGCGCGAGGCATTTGAAAACCTCTGCGGTAAGCGTTAGCGTTTTCCAAAGCATTTCCGTTAGGCGAATGGCCCCCACCAGGACAAGTTATGATTAACGGACTGTACAGCTATAGTATGTCGTTCACAGATGACGGTGGGCAGCTCGCAGCGGTTCTACGTAGTGATCAAGGTCGGGGCGGGCGACTCCCGAGTATCGGGGGTAAACAGTGGGGTAAACAGCGGGGTAGGGAGTGGGGCAGGGGGTAGTTGTTCGTGCGGGTGCAGCGGGGTGTGGGAGTGCGCGTGGCAGGTGGGGGCCCGCCTGCTGGCGCTGGTGGGGAATGAGGACCACCCGCACTATCTACCCAGGGACAATACCACTGTGCATATGGGAGAGGTAAATTATGGATTTCTCTTATTTGTATACTAACTGCCCGCCCTCGCTGCGCTTCGGTGTAGAGCTGAAGTGTAGACTACAGTTTTTGTTCTCAGGCTTGTATTATACACGATGACATTCATCTATGATTCTTCTTATACCTGCATGCAAAGTCTCAACCCGATCGGTTTAAAATTGACAAAGTTTCATACAAACTTTCATTCCCTATTTTATCCCCTTGGGGGTAGAATTGATCAAAATCCTTTCTTAGCGGATGCCTACGTTATAACATCTACCTGCATGCCAAATTTCAGCCCGATCCGTCCAATGGTTTGGGCTGTACGTTGATAGATCACTATGTCAGTCAGTCATCTTTCCAGTTTTATATATATAGATTAACTAACTTGAATATGACTTGATGACAGTGACTATACTTTTTTGTGAGAATATACGTACCTATTTTTTTTTTGGCATAAAAAGTATTTTTCTCCAATTTCATCCAAATCCAATCAGCCGTTTGAGCGTTAAAGAATTACAAACATTCAGATGAAATTTGTCCCGGGTTCGAGTCCCGGTGGGGGCAGATGTTTGTGTGATGAATACGAGCATTTGTACTCAAGTCATGGATGTTTTATATGTATTTCTATATAAATACACTTATTTGTCTCTTAGGTTTTCACGCACATCACTCATTAAATAGAACTAGTTTTAATAAATAATGAATAATGTTTTTTTTTATTACGACGACGCATTCTTGAATAGGGTGCGAAACGTCAATAAATAAATAAATTCAGTACATGTAACCCGTAAAAACTAGTTTTATTTAAATCATAATCATTAGCCTATTAATGTCCCCACTGCTGGGACACAGGCCTTCCCTATGGATGGAATAGGGAGTGCGGGCCATGACCCACCACGCGGGCCCAGTGCGGATTGGTGGGTGCTAACGACTGCAGATGCAGCCGGGACTAACGGCTTAACGTGCCTTCCGAAGCACGGAGGAATTCGAAATAGTAAATTCTTGGTCACCCATCCAATGACCGACCACTGCGAAAATTGCTTAACTTTAACGATCGCAGCCGAATGCGCTAATCACTTGCGCCATCGAGCTCCTCAATTCAAATATTTTATCATTTTATTTAAATATCCTAATATATGTACTGTAAATGTATTCTATCCGTTACCCTAGTATCCCATAACACAAGCCTTACAGTGCTTACTTTGGGGCTAGGCTAATTCGTGTGAGTGTTGGAAATATTTCTTTATTTATTTGGTATATTATTATTTATGACTAGTTGACCCCGCGTACTTCGTACGGGTTAAAATAATTTGGGAGAAATGACGGACCCGAGTGTACCGCACCGAAAGGGACGAACGTCAAATATTTGACAGAATAAATGATAGAACAGTTTATATGGGGAAAATTAAATTGACATTTTTATTATCTTCCTCGCATTTTTTTCATATTTTCTCACCTTTTGAACCTCCCCTAAACCTGCACGAACATTTTAAGACCAAGAAAGATAAAACCGTTCAGCCGTTCTCGAGTTTTAGCGGGACTAACGAATAGCAATTAATTTTTATATACCTAGTCAAGTCATAAATTCTGTCACATGTTTAATATCACTTCTTGACCTGTCATCTACACTAGAGTCTTAATTGTATCGTTTGATGGTACGATAAACGAATCTTTTGGTTATATTCAGAATTTTCAGTATGTCAAAAATTTGAATTGGCGCGTATCCGCAACGATGCAACGCAATAACTGCAACACGGTCTTCTTTAAGCGTCCACTCCATATTTAAAAATGAGTAAAATTCTAAAAAGTATACATTTTTATTTTCATGAACAATTCGAAATTCGAATTCAATAAACTTTTTCGTGGCCAGCATTCTGAAAGAAAAGTTTTTACTGTGTGACAATACTTATGACCTGACTGTGTATATAGATTATGTTTTGAATTCAGTTCCAGCTTTCGTGTAGATCTTGGTCGGAAGCCGCTTGGGGTGTGACGGCCCGGGTCAGGGTTCGATACGGGGGTCGGAGCAGGGAGCTGTGGCACGTGTCCTATAGGAACTGGCCTTCTTCCGCGCCTTGTCCTGATCATGCTGCCGATTTCCTAGGTAAGTTAATAATAATATTATTTATGATTTTATTTATTTTTTAAGCATTTAACTGCTAGATGTTTAAATCTAAAGAAAAGTTTACTAGAAAAAAATCCACGCGGACCAGGCAGCGGACGGGACTCGAACCCGCATCCTTCGCTATCCGGGCGAATGCACACGGCCCTATTAGCCGTGTCGAAGTTTTCCAGTGGTAGCATAATGGTCAGTGCATTCGCCCGGATAGCTAAGGATGCGGGTTCGAGTCCCGTCCGCTGCCTGGTCCGCGTGGATTTTTTTCTAGTAAACTTTTCTTTAGAATAATATTATTTTTCAACACGTTTGATCAACAAATACTGAGGTTTTGTTACATTTGTTCGAAAGATTATAATTACGAGCCATACGTGCGGTAAAACATTTTACTGCAAACTCCCATACATTACGCCGTGCGTATCCTTCGCGGTTTTTTTTTATTTATTTATTTATTTATTCTTTATTGCATGCACAGATAGTACAAAAAACAACATTATCATAACCTGTACAAACATGTGACACCCTGCAAGGGCGTTGCAATTTTACTTAAATTATTATTATTAATTAAACAAACAATCAAATATATTATAAAAAAATTCAATTCAATTATTAAACACGCATCTTACCAAAATTAAAATTAAAAAATACATATATTTTACAATTTAAAAACTATAGATATTAATATACAATTTTCACACTCACAATTTTTAATATAATATAGAGGTATGTCATGCAATTTTTTTTTTTTATTACTTCATTAAAATTATATATCAAATATGTTTATCTTGGAAAAATTCTAATATATTATAATATGATTTATTAATAAGATATTCCTTTAGACATTTTTCAAAAATTGTATCGTTTTCCAAATTTTTAATATTGTTGGGTATGTGATTATAAATTTTAATTATCATGGAGTGTGGAGAATTAGATACCAATTTCAAGTTTGAAAACGGGAGCTTCAGTTTATTCTGGTAGCGATCATTACGTCTTACTAATTTTACTGGGGAGTATAATTCGATATGTTTTCTCACAAACTTGCAGGCTTCAGAGATGTATAGGCATGTTATGGTAAGTATTTTAAACTTTTTGAAGTATGGTTTGCAGGAGTCTGTCTGTTTTATATTTGCAAGTATTCTTATAATTTTTTTCTGGAGGACAAAAACATCATGAATATCCGTGCAGTTACCCCACAATATAATGCCATAGGTCAGCCTGGAATGGACAAATGCGTGATATGCAGAAAGGGTGGTATTAAGGTTAGTACTGCGTTTCAACTGTCTCAGTGCATATACGAGAGAGGACAATCGAGTTGTTAGCTTTTGAGTAAGTGGTTTCCAGTTTAAATGCGAGTCTAGCTCTATCCCTAGCATGGTTGCAGAGTTTACAGTTTCTAATTTGTTGGATTTGTATTTGTAGTTGATGTTTAATGGGGTCTTTTGATGAGGTCTATATTCCATTAATTTAGTTTTCTCCAGGTTAAGCTGTAGATTGTTACACTCTAGCCATTTTGTAAGCGAATCTAATGTCGCGTCCAATTTTACTTTAAGTGAATCAGTGCTTGTGCAGGAAAAGACTACTGAAACGTCATCTGCATAAAGCACATTATCAAAAGGAATTGAATCTGACAGGTCATTCACGTATATCAGAAAGAGTATACAACCTAGAACGCTACCTTGTGGTATTGATCCGGTGATAGGGGTAAAATCAGATCTGATATGTCTAATTTCTCCAGTTTCGAAGTTGACATTTTGTATTTCTACGCTCTGGTGTCGATTCCGAAGATAACATTTAAACCACTCAAATGCTAGTCCCCTTATACCGAGCCCGTAGAGTTTATCAAGTAAAATTTTGTAATTTACTCTATCATACGCTTTACTCATATCGAGTAATAAGCTTATTGCGTGTTTCTTATTATTAATTATATCAAAAACTTTTTGTAATAACTTATAGACGGCTAGAGTGGTTGTTTTGTTTTTGCGGAAACCATATTGATTTTTGTGAAGAACTTTAAACTTTTCTAAAAATGCTATAATTTTATTAGCCATAGCTGTTTCAAATATCTTAGCAGATGTCGGTAGGAGTGCAATAGGACGGTAATTACTTACTAAGGTTTGTTCGCCCTTCTTGTGTATTGGCTTTACTACAGATATTTTTAGGGAATCTGGAAAACATCCCTCCTGAAAGGACTGATTTATTAATAGTGTGTATGGTAATGTCAATTCTTCCGCACATTTTTTAATTAAGCATGGGGGGATGTCATCGACTCCAAAGCTAGATTTACTTTTAAGATTTTTTATTATTTTGTAACTGTCTCTGGGCTCTAGAGATTGTAAATAGAGTGAACTCTGTATTGAGTTTACAATTTTTGAGTGTTCGCTGCTTGTAAGTTTTTGGGTGTTGCTGATTGTTGAGAAGTAGTCATTAAACAAATTCGCTATTATTTTTGGGTCTTTATATATTGATTGGTTCTGTTTTAACACAATATTTTGTTTAAGTAGTCGGGGTTTTGAATTCAATTCTTTGTTAATTATATGCCACATAGTTTTACTTTTGTTTTTTGAGTTTGAATATTTATGAGTGTTTTCTATCTTTTTTGATATTTGTACAGCTTTTTTTAATAGTTTACAATACTTTTTATAATAATTATCTAATATTTTACTTTTTGCCTGTATTTTAACCAATCTTAATAATCTCTTATTTCGACAGGATACTTTAAGGGCTGGAGTAAGTTTTGATTTTGCAGGTGCATGGCATAGTTTTATAGCTAACTTGGGTATATACTTATCTAAGAGTTGTTGGAGAACAATATTAAATGCATCATAGTTGGTGTTGGTGTTTTGGTCTGGTTTTATTATTTCAAACCACTTTACTCCTTGCAGTTCTTTTTTAAATTTATTAATATTTTTGTCATTAAATAATCTTTTCAGTAGGAAGAAATTTTTAGGGGCCTGCATACATAATGGTACGGAGAGAGAGGATCAGGCCTTTATGGTCTGAGAAAGCGAAATCATTTACTACTAAATGGTGATTGTTTGACTCAAAATTTAAAAAAATAAGATCTAAACAACTGGAAGTATTTTCAGTTACTCTGGTGGGTTCTTTGACTATCTGGTGAAAATTATACATTAACATTGCTTTTTTTAAGTTATTTGTTTCTAGACTATTTGCCATAAAGTTCACATTAAAATCTCCCCCCACTATAACAGATTTTGAAGTGTCCTTCAATGATAATAATGCCATGAGTTTTTCGATACACTCATAAAATACATCTCTATTCTTATTACTATTTGGCCAGTATAAATTAATTATAACTACGTTTTGTCTAGTTAATTCAACTGCAGATATTTCGAAGATGTTTTCTTGAGAAATTTTTTCTATATCTTTTCTTTCTTTAGTCTCTAGGTTCTCCTTTACCAGTATGCACACGCCTCCCCCTTCGGTTTTCTTTCTACTTTTCCGACAAAAGCTCGATGCTATCCGATATCCAGTTAAATTAAAGAGTTCAAGTTTTTCTTTGTTTAACCATGTTTCTGTTAGGCAAATAATATGCAGGTTACGGTTTCGTTCAATAAAATCTTCTAGTAGGTGTACTTTGTTATTTACGCTTTGCATATTTTGGTAGAAAACATTTATGTTTTTATCGAAAGGACTGGTTTTTGTTAAGCCTGGTAGGATTTGTATTATTTCCATTTACTTCGCTGATGATATGGTTAAGTCCGGGTCCAGTAAACTCTTTTCCATCTACTATTAGCTTTCCTTTCCTTATGACAGCATTTTGACCCTTTTTCCGGATCTCCATAAGAGCCTGTTTCAGTTCGCGCTTTTGTTTTAGATCCGACTCACTTAGGTATTCGGAAATGCCCAAACCAAACTCTCTAAAGTATGCTGCATTACGTAATATATATTTCCTTAGTCTTTTATTTGATAATTCTGTCCTTATTGGTCTAATATTCTTTCCTCTATGCCCTATGAAATTTACTTCTTCGATGTATGGGGGTAAATGTATATTTAGTACATCTTTAAAAATGTATGAAATTCGATCTACTAAATCATCCTCCGTTTCGCGATATTCAGAAGATAATCCATGCAAGACAATATATTTTTCGAATTTCATGTCAGTCGTGGTATCTAGGGATTTTGAACTATGTAACTTTTCTTGAAATTCATTATAATTTTTTTGCAATTTTAAACATTCATTTTGCAGGCTTTTGATTTTTTGTTCAAGGGTTAAAATATTTTCTTCGGTTTTAGTCTGTCTGCATTTCAAGTATTCAAAGTTTTGTATAAAGTCTTGTCTTAGGTTTTTTATAGCTGATTCAATTTCCCTCTGAATAGTATTTTGTATTGCTCGTAAGATAGATTTATTATTTTGCTGTAGATTTTCTTGTATAGATATATTTATTTGCTCTAGAGTTGCCAAGTTTGATGAGGAAATGCTGTTTATTGGAGTATTTTGCGTTGGGTGTTCTAAAAAGGTATCCCTTCAAGGGAAGTATTTGAATCGTCGGCTACTGGCGATATCGCTTGGCGTCTTCGTTGGCTTTTTCTATTTAAATTCAGATCGCAATTTATTTCATCGTAATTTTGCCGAACAGGGGTGTTTGAGTTATTTGTCTTTGCAACTTTTGAGCAACATAAGGGACATTTCCAAGACAATTTGTGATCCGGCGTCATTGTATTTATAAATCTTACCAAAGGTACATTTGCACATTGAATATCATAACTTTGTGTGCATAAACAACATGATAAGTAGTATCTATCAGGTATTTTCTGACAACATCCTGCACATATTTTATCGGAGCTTGCCATCTAGCGAAATTTTTAAGAAACTTGTTTATTGATTGTTAAGAGTGAAGCAAACACTGAAGGTTCGAGTAGCTGTTTGGTATGGAAGAAGAAACAGATGGCGTTTATTGTGATTTTTTGTGAGTAAAACACAAACAGTAATAATGTAATTTATGGATGTAATTTAAATGAAGAACTTATACGTGGTGCTCAATCATTATATCGTTGGTGGTGCAGACAAAAATGGAAACATCAATTAATAGACAGTCGTTCAACTTGATTTGAACTGGCGACCCGCGGAGTTTGCAAAGCCGCTGCCGCGCTGCTTAAACCTTGCGGCCACGCAGCGGATATTTGTAACAGCGAAATTTCCGAATATACTAGGCACAGAGATTTGAATTTTTAAAGTTCGTTATTTTATGATTCATCAAAAAAAATTTAAAACGTATTTTCACTAAATCTTTAATTTTGTCACTAACACTGTTATCATTTATTATTATTCTTCTGTTTAATATACTTGAAATAAGCTTTTTACACTGTTTTTATGGGTCACTGATGATAATTTTAATTTATTGTTTATTTTCACTGTATGGTGGTATTTCCACTGGCCTACATTTCCACATATTTCACACATGAAATATATCAGTATGATTTACTCGCTAAGCAGAACAATTCACTTTTTATATTTATAAATCAATTTTAAATACGACGTCGATGTTTACGTGACGACAGCGCCATCTGGCCATTCCTTTTTCTTATTAAAATAAAATACACTAACAATAAATTCACATTATAAAATCTCAATCACAGGGACTTTATTCTTGTACACGCGGCAACACTGAAACGACTTAAACAAAAAATTGCTTAAAATTATAAAATGCTGACATTCACTTCGGACGGTTAAACCGTACAGTGCCGACCATTTAATGATGTGTAACATCTTTCCTCTCGCTTTCGTGCTTTCTTTTCGTTTGTGGGCATAATTACGTGAAGTTAGACGGAAGTGTGTAACAGGAAGTTTGGAAAGCGCGCGCTATTTGATTTGATTTTAGAACATAATGTTCAAATGGCTTATTCTGTTCGTAGTAGGTTTTATTTCCTTTTTTACTAATATAAGGTGAGGTATCAAATGTTACACAACATACGTGACTATTTTTTTTATAGGCTAATGACTCTACCCCACCTAATGTTAAGTGGTGATAAAGTCCAGACGCGAAGATAGCTGGTACAGCAGTTATGAACTGCTACACCAAGCACCCTCACCTTGCCGGCCCGCAGAAATGCTTCTTCACGCCTCTCTTAAAGGACCCCAGATTATAGGAAGGAGGGAACACGTGCGCGGGTTAAGACGAATAGTGCGACAAAGAAATGAGTCGCCAAATTTCTTTGTTTATTGTAAGACTCGCTCGTTTTTTATTTATTGAAGTTATACTTCTTTAGGCGCGTTATGAAAAAATGATGAGAGTGAAATTTTAAGATGCGCGCGCATCACTGTAACACAAAATTTTAACAGCATGATGTTGGCTTTAGCGACCAACTTCATGCGTTACTTTTGTGTTTACCGCACATTAAGAAAATCTACCAACAAAATAGAAATAGAATCTCTATTTAGTGGGCGCTAACGACTGCATTGTGAAGGCCTATCAAAAGTATTTATTAATCTGGAACAACGGAACCAAAGCGCGATTCAGGAGACTACAGCGCCATCTCTTGACCATTGGTGTAGTAGAACCAAAAACCACATTTTATTTTTTGTAATAAAGTAACAGGTATAGGTATTCATATTTATAATATCAAAAGTATTTATTAATCTGGAACAACGAAACCAAAGCGCGATTCAGGAGACTACAGCGCCATCTCTTGACCATTGGTGTAGTAGAACCAAAAACCACATCTTTATTTTTTGTAATAAAGTAATATTTATAGGTATTCATATTTATAATATTTATCCACATGTTTCTAGTTTGTATATTCGGAATACGTGTTTGATTTTCATACAAGTGCAAATCACATATTATGTTCTAATAAATTATATTCAGTAGCGATTTTAATTGAATATTTTGATTATTTATTTATTTTTTCAAATTAAAACTGAACTTTATTGACTTCGTCCTTTTCCAGACTTTTTATTAATTTATTGTAATTAATTATTTGCATGCAATTAAAAACTAATTTTAAACGATGCCAAAGAAGGATAACTTCTCACGCGCCTACATAAGTACACGCACCCATTTATTTATTTGATCACCAACATAATAAACATTGACACAATAATCTAGCAGGTAATGATAAAATACTTAAGCTTAATGTTATTACAATTATAGGTGAAGACCACATGCGTTATGGAAAAGAAGCAACAAATGCTGGTAAACTGTTGATGAAAAAGCCTTTAAAAGCTTTGTAAGATTTAAAAAAAACATATATTCAACAATGTCCCGGTTAAAATCAAATCATTATATCGAATAAATCGTTATATCGAATAAAGTCAACTTATATTAAAAAAAAATGAATCGAAATTAATTAGTCACAATAAATTACAGATAAAATTAATTTATAGAAATAATAACACAATTAAAATCAAATTACAATAAAATTAATTAAAAGAAGATGTCACATTACTTTATTTTTAAAGTTGCGAATGTCACCCTTGAATAAGTCCAAATCGTTGCTCTTGCTCATGCTATTCAGCTCTTTGATCATTCTATTTATAGGCGCATTTTGGCCAAGATTAGATCGGCAGTAAGATTCCACGAAAATTTTAAATCTTGAGGAGCGAGGGAGTTTTGATGGAGCAGAAAATGTCAGAATTTGCACTAACTCAGGAGTATCCAGGATGCCATTAGCCAATTTATAATTATTCCTGCTCTCTCCAACAGCGTTTCTGTCCGAAGTGAACAGCCTCCGAGTGGCTTGCGAGAGTGAAGGTAGCTCCACGTGGCCGCTCGTGTTGTGCGGGACGCGCGTCTCCCGCGCGGGAGCCGCGCTCGCCGCTCATTTGCTGCTGCACATACTGGACCATAATCAGGTGAGAACTCCGATTGGAACGCTCGATCATATACTTATAGATTTTTACGTACGTTACGTAAAATAGCCGCGGGCTTTATATCGCGCGATTTATCAACGGTCGCGATTAATTTTTCCCTGTAATATGAAAAACCTATCGTTACTCCCAATAATAGGCTAGTTGACCCTTTTTGGAAAAAGGTTCTAAGTGGTTAAAAAATGTTCTATTAGTCTGAAAAAAATGTATTGTATTTTTTTGAGGCCTAGAAAGCTACAAATCTTTAATTTTAAAAAGACTTTTCATGGACATACAAAAACGCTGTCGGCCATTTTAGTCTATAGATTATCTACGCTACGACGTCAACCGGTAGTAAACAAAAACTCGTAACCACGTAGAAAATAACCTATCTGAGTTTATATTAAAAAAAACACGATTTTTAATAAAAACCACGAAGAATATAGTAATTATTATTATTGTACTGTACGAGAATGTAAAAACACATCCTTGGAGACTCCAGGAAAGTTGTGGATTAAAGTGCCGAAAGATATTAATCTACGCAATACCTGGTTAGAACTTACTAACTCGACTCATAGTAAAATTTATTTTTGCGAAGATCACTTTGATGTAAGTACTCATTGAATAATATTTTAAGTCTCTTCATTTATTATCGGTTTTAATAATACAAGTTTTGAGGTTATGTATGAATGACATTTAGTTGTTTACTACCAAAGAGACGTCACAATCATGGCGGATGTGGCGAACAGCGTTTTTAGTACTTAAAAAGTATAAACTAAAAAATATTTTTTAAATTAAATTTCTACAGCAATCTTCTGCTTTTATGAAGTGGAATTGATATATTTAGATTCCTTAGACTAAATACTTTAAGAAATAAACATTTATTTAATACAATTTTACATGAGTCAACTAGCCTATTCTGCCTGATACTTAAGTAATAATAAAAATGGATGCGTGTAACTTATGTACGCGCGTGAGAAGTTATACTTCTTTAGCATCATTAAAATATTTTTTAATTGCATGCAAATAATTAATAATTACAATAAAATAATAAGAGGACTGGAAAAGGATAGTTAACATAGTCAATTAAGTTCAGTTTTCATTTCATTTCATTTCAAATCTGCCCCGTTCAAATCTGCCCTGTTTGCTTTGTTCAAATCTGCCCCACGGTCACTTGGAAAATAAAATATTACAAATAAAGCGCCCGCGGCTAACTTCATTATGTTAAAATTTTGTGTTACAGTCATGAAAATTTCACTCTCATAATTTTTTCATAACGCGCCTAAAGAAGTATAACTTCAAAAAAGCTAAGCCTAATTTTTTTTTATTGAAATATATTTTTAAGCATTTAAGCAGTTAAATGCTTAAAAATATAGATAGATGATTAAATCTACAGAAAATTTAGTTAGAAAAAAATTCACGTGGTCCAAACAGCAGACGGGACTCGAACCCTGTAGATTTAAACATCAAGCAGTTAAATGCACAAATAAGTAAAATTTTACGGGATTTTAAAAACCTACCTATAAGTATATTTTTAAAGAAATATACATATTAAACATCCATGACTGGAGTACAAATGCTCGTATTCATCACACAAACATCTGCCCCCACCGGGATTCGAACCCGGCACCTCTCGAGCCGGCGACACCATGAAACCCGGCGTACAAACCACTCGGCCACGGAGGTCGTCTTAAATGTATATACAAGTTTTGTACTAATTTGTCTGTTAATATTATTATAATATCTCCCTTAGGAACTGGACATCCCCCGCACCATTGGACTTCTGCATGAGCAACGAGCTGGCTTAGTGGATTCCCTGCCATTATACCGCTTCCTGCATCAACTACTACTCACATATCTCAAACACACGCGGCTTATATGAACACTATACAACGCCGTGATGATCACCAACCTATCAATGTACCCACTGCTGGGGCACAGGCCTTCCCTATGGACGGAATAGGGAGATTGGGTCATGACCCACCGTGTGGATAAGTGGACTGCAGATGCAGTTAACGTTCCTTTCCAAACACGGAGGAGCTCGAGATTGTAAGTTTTTGGTCACCCATCCAATGACCGACCATTGCGAAAGTTGCTTTACTTCTACAATCGCAGGTCGATCGCCAATCGAGCTCCTTCAATACAACGCCATAGTGCGATACTTATCTTTATTACCTTTATGCATCAGTTGTTATTCACATATATCTCAAACACACGCGTCTTACGCCAACACTTCGCTTGGCTATTCGTGTTTGCTATTTGTAAACTTGACATCAGTTTGTCCTTTTCATTCCTTATAAAGCATGATAAGGACAGACTGTCGTCAAGTTGATAAATAGCAAATACGAATAGCCAAGTGAAGTGCCGGCATCAATGAACATTGTACACCACTACAGTGCGATCTACACTCATCAAGTGTCTAGGGTTCAATACAACTTTTGCAATAAATTATTATCCTATTCATATATGCCAAATTTGGTCTTCCATGTTGGATTTTTACTAAAATTTCTATTTGTAAGTAAACAGCATGCCCCTTCTATTTGGTAAAAATAAAGAATTTGTAGTTAGTTTAATTACGTAGTTATTTGACAAATGAAAAATAATAAATTACTAATTGTAGACATGAATTAATATTTGGAGCGATTTCACTATTCTAACAAAAATCCTGAAATAGAAAAGTATTCTTTTGACCTATTAGCACGTGACCGAAAACGACTAGGATTGGCGGAGCCTAATATGACGTCACCTGCTTGTAAACATGTTGTTTAAGTGCCATTGCTTTGTTCTGTTTGACGTTTTAATGAGAGCCCGGTGACGTCACCTGCCTGTGGCGTCTCTTAAAACACATTTGCTAAAAAACCGTTTCCACGGCATATTTGAAAATATATATATATATGTACTGAATCCCCAATATAATAACAAATATCCACTTTTAATGAAGTCACTATACACTTATAAATAAAGTATGAGCGTTTGAACTTATCAAATGGCCTATTAGCCTATTACTTTATCTCTAGAGACTTAAGGTATGGAAGCTGTGAAGTCAGCAGCCATCGCAAAATATACATTTCTCAATCTGAATATCCTTAAATAAAACAAGTTTTAACGGTATAGATGCACTGATTAATTTATTTATTTACTTTTCACATCCTTTTCAGGATACGAAACGTCAATAAATAAATAAATAAATAAGTGCATCTATGCCGTTAAAACTTGTTTTATTTAATGAATGGTGTGCATGAATACCTAAGACACAAATATGTCAAATGTACGTTAATAACAAGTTTTTTATATATATTTGTTTCCTTTCTTACACTTATAAATATTAGTCGAATTAAATGAAATTTATGATTTAAAGTCCTTGTTAGTTTTTTTTTTACTCTGACAACACTGAATTGCACTTCTATAATTTCTCTTAACTTATATGAATTTTTTAAAGAGTTGTTTCCATTTTGTTTTTTACCTTATAATATTATTAGTGTCTATTATATAGATACTGAGAATATATTAAATCGGTATTAAATTAACAAATTATAACGAAACCATAGGAGCCAAATATAAATTTTGATACCATACACAATAACTAGGTCAATACAATTCAAATCGAATAACTATACAACAAATAAACTCAACTTCCTTATAACTTCCTGCCTTTGTATATAGTATATTTTAATCTTTCGTTCGTTTCAAATTAATGAGACACTTAATTATTTCTATACATATAAATATTAATAAAAAAAAATACAAAGTATTATGTTAGTTTGTAGAATGACTATGTGCCTATACTGTTTAATACTTGAATAAAACATTTTATGTATAAATAGTTCTCGAGTACGCTAGTTTCTATAATGTTTTCATTTTGTTTGTAGTGTGTAAGTTGAAAATCATATGTGCCTTATGAATCGGTGAGATATTTCATGATCTGATGTCAATTACGTGGGTGTGCTTCGTAGTATATAGTTTAACTGCAGTTCACTTTAAACCGATTTGATAAAAGTGAAAAACATTTTGTATTTTTTTTGGTTAAATAAACTGGAATACACAATGGGTTTATTCCGAAATGTACATCGGTATACCAGTGGTAATGACGTCACGAATCCGACGCCATATTGTACTGGTGTGCTACCATATTTTTACCGGGAAAACGAATATGACGTATGACCCAGCGTGCGTGAGATGCATTCGAATTTTATTTCTTTTTTATTTAAAGAACAATAATGGCATCCGAACAAAAAGAATCCCTTTTAATTGATGAGGTGAATAAAAAATCTTCTTTATTCGCACTATTTTTAATATAATTCGTCGATTTATGACGTCTGTGCACTGGCCAATATATTTCGAAACAATTCACCAGTATAGCGTCAATCCTTGACGTCATTAGCACTGGCCAGTATAAGTATATAATACGCTCTTTTCGTAGTTTACCATTTTGGTCCAGGAGCGTAAGAAAACATGACTGCGCTAAGTTATCTACTAAATAAAAAATAAAAGCTTAAACTCAGTGTTCTGAGAAATTGACTCTTTGTAATAGTTACCGGTACTCCTGAGTGATTTTAATTTTGAAAGTTAGATTTAGACTTAAAAAGGAATCGACCAAAAACGAAAATGCAAAAAAATGCTTACTTTGATATTAAATCGGTTTAAAACAGACTAAATTTTTATATACCTTTGTACTGTTTTATATAGTTAGATGATGATAGCTCATTTTTTACAAAGTACTTTTTATTCAACTTTTTAATACGATTTTTTTATCACATTTACGTTTTTGTATTTTTTTTTGTAAGAAGCTTGCTCAAATAACTATAACATGTAAAGGAAAATATAAAAATATTTTAACGTTTATGATGTTTTTCTATGCATATCGAAAAGTTACTAGAGCATAAAATTAACAAAATATTTATCTCATACGTGAAAATGCAAGATTTCGAAAATACTTTTTTTATATTGTGCATTTTTTTATATAATAGGGGTGATGACGGGGTACAGTAAACGAAATTCTATTTAGTCTGTCAGTTAGATGATCAAAAAATAATGGATACGCATTTTTTCTTTGGGCAATCAACCAAAAAATGACTAAGTTATAGCGCGTCAAATTTGGGAGTGGGGGCTCGTGACGTCACTTTTAAGTGAAAATTGTACCTAAACGTGACATCATACGACTTTTCAAGTCAATATATCTTCTGCAATGTTTATATTATGTGAAAAAAGAAAAAATACGTGTCCAATACTTTTTGATAATCTACCTGATAAACGAAGAAAAAAAAATAATCATCATCCCTATTCAGGTGCAGCCATTGTGTTCATGTTCACATAATGCGTTTGTATTATCTAGTCGAATGGCAGCTTAGTGCGTTATTTTAATTATTAAGGAAAATGTAAGCTGGTTTTGACGTGTTTGTGCACAAGTCTTTTAATTTAAGCACTGGTGTCCGATGTCGTTTGTTGTTTTATGAATTTCGGTCTATTTAATTTTTGTAAATATTTTTTTCATATAAAATTTTGAAAAATTAATCATAAAAAACAGTATTGTAGAAATGGATGTATTTATTTATACTAATTATAATCAATGTTTTTTTTTGTAATTTCTATATTGAATCAATTTTATACTAATTTTTATTCGAAGAAATAATGTAAAAGCAATAACTTCTCGAAATTTGTGATGTTTGTTTGACAATAAAATATTACGAAGATGTCGTTGTTTACATTTAAAAACACCCCAATTAGTTCTATTATAATTATGTGAAATTCCTTAAATTATATTTTGATCAGAGACGAGCTTGAAAACCTCCATCTATCTATTTAAATAAAACTCAAAGGTGACTGACTGACTGACATAGTGATCTATCAACGCACAGCCCAAACCACTGGACGGATCGGGCTGAAATTTGGCATGCAGGTAGATGTTATCACGTAGGCATCCGCTAAGAAAGGATTTTGATCAATTCTACCCCCAAGGGGATAAAATAGGGAATGAAAGTTTGTATGAAACTTTGTCAATTTTAAACCGATCGGGCTGCGACTTTGCATGCAGGTATAAGAAGAATCATAGATGAATGTCATTGTGTATAATACAAGCCTGAGAACAAAAACTGTAGTCTACACTTCAGCTCTACACTGAAGCGAAGCGAGGGCGGGCCGCTAGTTTTAAAATAAAACCATTGGTAACAGTCTGTTTACCAATTTCATAACGGGGAAGTCGTTCAATCTTATAACTACCCATCTCGTCTCTGTCAAAATAAATATACAGCTCGACAAGGATCTTTATGAATGTGAATAACAATTCAGGGAGGGCGCCACTGTCTACGTAGATGACATACAAAATGTGAAGATTACAAAGACGGAGTTAGTTGCAATTTCCGCCACATTCATGAAGATTCTTGTGGCACATTACTGCAGCGGCCAGCAAAAGAGGCATTGTTTTGCGCACATACGTAAGTCCGTCAATGCCTAGTTGTGGCGGAGGCTTGTGGCTAGCTCTTCTCAAATAACGTACCTATGCAGGGCTTATTATTTCAAAACAGAATAACTTACTTTTCAAAACCAAGGGCAGACAACAACACTCATGCATTTGTTTTTATTTAACAGTTCGAAATTTAAATATAACCTTTGAAAAGTTACCTACTTCGTAGCCACTTTTCGCAATAAAAGATCGTTCCATTTTTAAATTACAGGGCAGATATGAGTTTACTATGCAATTTATTTGGCCGCTAAACACGACAGATATAGCTTTTCATACTACTTTTGCTGGCCGCTGCTCGCATTTATGTGGTCAGTACAGCTATTTCGATGTATCTCGAAAAAGATTGTCAAAATAATGTTGAAACCAAGCATATTCATCCAATCATCTTTGATATGTTAATCTCTGTAAACGAACAACTAGGC